CTCGTTACCGAGAGCCTTCTTCGTACGGAAGGCAGTCCGATATTCATCCACCTGCTGAGGTTTGTCTTTTCACTTTCAACTCACTTCTCGCAGCCGCCTCGTCGAGGCGTAGCTACGTTTAGTGGCATCGGCACAAATTCTTACTCTTTCTTTCGTCTACAGGGCACAGCTCTCCCATCGTTTCTCGAGCATCAATCGTTTCTTAAGATTTTGCCACCGGAGCCGGGGCATCGCTTTCGTATCAGTATCTCCACGTTCTTCCGTTCTCAACTTCGACCAGCCCGCCTATTGCGTCAGCTCAGACTTGCCATCATGTTTGGGGACCTGTGAGTACTTTCTGGGGCAACTGAGGCCTCATTCTATCAGATATCCATCTTTACTTTGCTTTCCCCCATACTGACACATTATTATCCAACAGGTCGATCAAGGTCAAAGGGGCCGACTGTGGCTTCGATGCCCTTTTCCTTGCCATCATCACGTCGATTGGCGGCTTCCTTTTCGGTTACGACATCGGTCAGATCTCCGGCACCATCGTTTTCGACGACTTTGTCAAGCGGTTCCTCAACGATGGCTCACCCACAATCAAGTCTCTTCTTGTCTCTTTCTTCAGCATTGGTTGCCTCGTTGGCGCGCTGGCCGGCGCGTAGTAAGCCAACTCCATATCTGTTCCTTTTCTCTCTCCCTTGCCTTCTTTTGCCTTTTGCGAGACAGATATCTGACCAGCACTCAAACATAGCACATCAGACTGGCTTGGACGACGAAAGAGCATCGCCTTGGGGGTATTCATTTTCATCTTGGGAGATGCCATTCAAGTTACGGCGAGAAGTAGCTGGATCCATCTCACCATGGGCAGATTTGTTGCTGGCCTCGGCATCGGCAACCTTTCTGTGGGCGTACCTATGTTCCAATCTGAGTGCGCTCCGCGAGAGATTCGTGGAGCCGTGGTCGCCTCATACCAGCTCCTCATTACCATTGGCATTCTCTTCGGCAACGTTGTCTGCTATTTTATGCGCCGCCATCAGGAGGACAGCGACACATGGCGTCTCGTCATCGGTATGGGAGCATTGTACTCCATACCCCTTGGAATTGGCATATTCTTTGTACCAGAATCACCGAGATGGCTTGCTGGCAGGGGCAAGTAGGAAAAGGCCCGCCAATCGCTGTCACGACTTCGCGGCAAGAGCAAGGATCCCAGCAATGTCCTCGTTGAGAACGATATGCACGAGATGAGGGAGGTTTTGGCATTGGAACGCCAGAGTGGCAGTGCTTCGTGGATTGAGTGCTTCTCGCTCAGATCAAAAGTTCCCAAGACGCGCTACCGCACTCTCCTTGGTATGGGCCTTCACTTTCTACAACAATGGACGGGCATCAACTACTTCTTCTATTACGGCACTACCATCTTCACCACTGCCCACATCAAGGATCCATTTCTTATGCAGCTCATTCTCGGCGCAGTCAATGTTGCCACTACTTTTCTCGCCGTCTATTTAGTTGACAAGTTTGGCCGTCGGTGGCCTCTTATCCTCGGTGCAGTTTGGCAAGCTGTGTGGTTGATGATTTTTGCCTCCATTGGCACCGCGACCAGTCGTCATACCTCACCGTCGAGCACCTATGGCGTCGTCATGATTCTGTCATCTTGCATGTTCATTGCTTCATTTGCGGCTACCTGGGGTCCCATTGCCTGGGTTGTCATGGGCGAGACATTTGCTCTACGTACGCGTGCAAAACAAGCCTCGTTGGCCACAGCAGCCAACTGGCTGGGCAATTGTAAGAGTCCCTCCCTCACAACACATTACAGATACTCGACAAAAGCGACTGACCATCGTTGCAGTTTTGATCGGATTCCTCACCCCACACGCCGATAGAGGCTTGTCCTACGCGTTTGGGTTCATCCTGGCGAGCGCCAACCTGGCCGCCGCCTCCATAGTTTGGATGTACTTGTACGAGTCCTCGCTGCTCAGCCTAGAGAGCGTGGACATCATGTACAGTATGCACGACATTGTGGCATGGGAGAGCGCCCGCTGGGTGCCGCCTGGATATGTCACACGCCGGGTTCGAGACGAGCAGCACTTCCGCAGATTGAGCATTCAAGAAATGGTGGAGATGGCCAACAAGGATGCCAGTGTCAAGTCTGTCAGTGTCAAGGATGCCAGTGTCAAGTCTGACGAGAACGCTGCCCAAGGTAGCCAAGTCTGATGATGAGGTTAGAGATTGGGGTGAGCCATGTATCGCAACCTAGGCCTTGCTGTTGCTTGCACTTTGCATTACTGTTTGCAGTTGGTAGTTCTACAAGTAGTCATTACGGATTAATGATTAACAATTAGGCATTACGTATCGCCTGTCAATGTTTAGTACAGGCGTCGATATCTAAAAAAAAAAAAAAAAAAAGACCAAGAAGATGAATTAGGTTGATCCTTTTCCCCAAGGACACCGTCTCGTATTATGTAAATGTGTGCCAATGCTATAATTCGTAAATTATAAACAAATTGATATCATTACCGCTTTATGCCAGCGCTTGCCATAACCAGGAGTGAGGTTGCCCGCTATCTATTACAAATGTTTCCCAAAATGATGCTCATAAAAAATCAAGATGCCATGTTCACCGTTTTCTTTTTATCCCTTCTCTTACTCTTTTTCCTTTTTACACTGATTCTTCCGACTTGACCTTTTCGGTAGAAGCGGATGCCTCTGGGTGCTCGGCGGCTTCTCCTCGCTTATGGCCGTGGCCGGCATGTTTCTCATCGGCGCTCTTCTCTCCACTCTCATCACCAGTCACGGTGCTGGCGCCAGAGTCGGACTCTGCATCTTCGGACTCGCCCTCGTTGGGGTCCTCGAGGACGACGCCGCCAGCGGGGGCGGCCTCGACGTCCTTGACGGGTGGCTTGAAGCCCTTTGGGTTGAAGCGGCTGCGGGCACGGATGGCGGCGCCGTACTTGTAGAACATGAAGGGGATGATGGCGAGGACGGCGGCGACACCGCCGACGAGGGAGCCGCCGCCGCCGACGCCCATGGAGTGGAACATTTGGACGGTGAAGAGGGGCGCGGCGGCGCCGCAGGCGGAGCGCATGATTGTGTTTGCGGCGATGGCGGAGGCGGCGTACATGAGGTAGGCGTCGACGAGGTAGTTGAGGAAGCCGACGAAGAGGAGCAGGAGGGCGGTGGAGAGGAAGGCTCCGGCGATGGTGGGGACGATCCAGTGGACGGAGCTGTGTGAAGGGATTTTGTTAGTTGAATGTTCTTCTTTTTCTTGTTCATGATATGAAGAGGGGGGAACACATACTTGAAGTTGGCTGACCAAGCGAACCAGAACATGGCCACTGCAAAGGTGATGCCGCCGATGATGGCAAGGGGCAGACGATCTTCGGGCGTCATCTCGTGCATTTGCTTCTTGCCGGTGTCAACCTTTTTCTGCTGACGGCGCGTATCAAGGAGAACGATGAGGCCGCCAAACATGGCGCCCAAGACTGTGCCAATCAACGGAAGCTCGCCGACTCCCGCGTTCCAGCCACGCTTCTCCTGGAAGACAATGGGGTAGATGGTGAAGAGCATGTAGAGGAGGGTGTATACGACCGAGAGGTAGATGGCGATGAGGAAGGAGATTGTGTCGAAAAGGATGATCCATGGGCGAGTGAGGGCGACCTTGTAGACGCTGACGAGGCTTTGGCTGCTGTCTTCGATCTGGGCCTTGACGTTCTCGTAGCCGGGAATCTTTGCCTTGCGGATGCGCTTGGCCTTGTGGCGCAGGACAGTCGGGGCATGGGTCTCGGGAATGGTCAGCATGAAGAGGGCGGAGGCACCGCCGAGCATGAGAAGGACGTAAAAGGTCCATTGCCAATCCTTCTTGAGCTCGAGGAAACCGGCGATGATGGGGCCGAGAGAGGGTCCAATCCAGAGCATGGCAGCGAAGCCGCCCATGGCGTTTGCACGTTGAATGGGATTCCACAGATCAGCCAAGACACCGGGACCGTTACTCAGAGGTGCAGAGACGAAAGTGCCGGTGAGGAAACGACCAACGAGGAGACTGCCAAAGTTGGGCGCAAAGGCACAGAGGAAGTTAAAGGCCAAGTAGAGCGAAAAGGTGCTGTAAAAGATCCAGCGTCGGCCGTACAGCTCACTCAGGGGGGCGAAGATGAGAGGACCGGCACAGTATCCCAGCAGGAAGAGAGTAATGGTCAGGCCAGCGGCCTCCTCGGAGACGTGGAAGGATTTCGCGATGGACGGGAAGCAGCCGCTGGGGGCGCTGGAAGCAAACGTGGCGTTCATGACGAGGAAGACGGTCGCGGCGGTGATCCAGAACCGCCGGGCCATGGACCAGTTTCTGGGGTTCTCGACATCTCCGGGGGCGAAGTCGACGTAGCCATGTTCGTTCAAGAAGGGAGGCTCGTTGGAGTGAAGGTCCTTTGTGCGGTACGGCTTGTTAACCGGTCGCGATAGAATGCGGGTGATGGCACCCATGGTGGATAGACGGTGGCGGCAACTAAGATTCTTATTTCCACCGCGGTTCCTTGGGATCTGAAGTAGTTGATGAAAGTGGTCCCCCTTGGAACGTATTGATTACTGATTTATCGAGGGTATCCTGCTCTCATGTATCATTCCGCCTCTGAGCTGTAGTTGAAACTTGTATGATTAAACAATCACACCAAGGGAGCTTCTTCCTTGTCCCCTTCTTCTTTCTTCAAAATCTTGGACGTTCGATGTATCGATTACTGCTTGTTCACGAAGCTCGTCAAGATGGAAAGGGCGGCAGCTCTGCTCCGGTTTACCACGAGGTGAAAGGAAGCCAGGGTAAAGGGTACGACTGAGCGCCACAGCCGTTATTTATTAACAAAGAGACCGGAGAGATAATTAATCATTTCTTTTTTTTTCCCTTTCCCACGTTGTTGGCGCTTTAGCACTAGTTGCTCCATCCTTCGCGCGTCGGGTTTATGGGCCCCCCGGCCGCGGGCTAAGAAACTGTTAGTTGTACAGTTCGGATATAAGACGACGGAGTCGGCACTGGGTCACTTGGCGGCTCCGTTTTCCCAATTCGTTGCTGTTGCGATTTCCCAATAGGTTGCTGCTATGGAGCGTGGGTTCAAAGGATGGATACCGTAGAAGGCCAAGGATGGGTCTTGTTTGCGGCGCAGGTTATCTTGGAGGAAGGGAGAGGAAAAGACGCCCGATAATTTGTCTTTGGCCGGGATGCTGTACGGCTCTTGGCCTGTCGAATACGCTCCGAACCAGGCGGTTTGTTTGGTCTCTAGAGTGCGTCTTCCAGTTGAAGACGTGAGGCTGCCATGGATTGCAGCGTCGTACCCCCATGCCAACAACAGAGGAGGCCTGTAGCAGTGTAGATGGATGGGTTGCCACCTGATGATTCCACACACTGTAGGATTTCGCGCCATAGTGCCGAGCGACCGAAAGAGCCGCCCAAGTCCAGCGCGGCGTATCTGCCGACAAACTGCATGCTGATCCGTGCCAAGTTGTAGACACCACAAATTGCTCCATCCGTCGTGTGGTGGGGCCTTGATTTGTCTGTGCCCAAGCCGAGCTCATGAATCGGAGATGGAAATCTGCGCCTCATTGCTCCAACTCGCGTGTTGCTTCACTCCCAATGGCCGGCGTTTTTGCTGGCCGAGATCCGCCCGCTTGTTAGATTTGGGTTTTCTGCCGAGGAATCATCTCTGTTGTTGGCGGCAGTCGTCTCCGTATCTGCTTAGCACCCCCAGCCAGATGCGAATCTTGGTGTCACGACAAGATCTCGTTGAGATCTCGCCTAGTGCCTTGGTTGAAGCACAGATGTGCCGTCTACCGTACTGTCTTCTTCGCTTGTCCCTCACCTCCTTTGTTTTTGTCAAGGATGGACAGATACATAGATAGCGTCCAGCACTCCATAGTAGGTAGTCGAATGATGCCGTTTCTTTAATTCCGACGCTCCACACCCCTTTTAGTGGTGCTCCGTGTGATGATGCCTTCTCCCGCTGATCGAGCCATTGGGCCGCTTGTCGTCCACCGGATGACTATGACTCCCACAACCTCCGATTATTCAGCAAGAACTTGTGTGATTTCAAATGGACTATTCGCACATTTCATCTGGAGCGATCGGATATCTGCATCCTGCTCGGTTTCTCGCTCTCCGAGGAAGTACGAGCAGGACCCAGCAGGACTTTTTGCCTCCATGGACGCGGTGACAGCATCAGGTTCAGCAAGGGGCTCGGTTCATGATTAGGCGCCGCGCCGGGCAGCGGAACGCACTCGGCACGTAATACGTTTAATCGTATCGTATTTCGTCTGATGGATAAGAAACGACGACCTTGGCAGCAAGGTTGATGCGTGGGTGGCGCTGAGCTGGTGATGCGGCCTGCCCACTTTGAGGCAAAGGCGGCCGGGGATAATCTTAAACGGTGGATTCTGCCACTTCGGCCGGGCTGTTGCTCCGACACGTGCGAACCAAGGACCAAAGAACTCTTAGCACGAGTTAGTTGGTTGGTTTCAATGTTAGCAGCTGAGGTGGTTAATTAGGGCGACCAAACACCATCTCAAGCGTCTGGTGGTGTAGTTGAGATTGGTAGCTCGGCTGCAGCTCGTATTTCGACGGTTTATTACTTGGCCTGAGCGGTGAAAACTGTCCAATACGGCATCCGTCCATGTTACTCTGCTACCGGCAGTGCGGTGCGACATGCAGCCAGGCATTGATTACATTGACACTTCAGTACATACAGGGACTCTCTCGCTGATGCCTGCCTGGCACCCCCGACGTTACAGGGCTGTTACCCCCTGTACGGATGGAGTCCATCCGTTGTAATCACAAATGGAACTGCGACTCCGCTGCTATCAATCGCCATTCTGCTACTAAAATACGAAGCATCCTATCCGGAGACTTTTGCGCCATTCCATCCCACCGGGACTTGCATGCTAAGAACCAGCATGCTGACAAAACACGTCAACGTAATCGATTTCTTACCCGTGGCTACTCCATGGCGGCTCCTCGCATAGCACGGCTCGAGACGCTTTGCAGAGAATAATGGTGCAAATCTACTCTCCGTCATTTAACCGATATGATGGATTTGCCGTACTTGTTCGGATTTTACTTCGAGTCAGACTCATTCTCAACGACACTGCCGCCGCTACGCCCTACGCCCTTCCAGTTGTAACCATGTCTTCAGTCCGCACGTGAATCCGGAACGCTAGCTCAGTTCGCTCTCGTGGAGTTTTAGTATTATGCCCAAAGGGAGACTGAAGTTTTTTCTCTTCTTTTTGCAAAGTCCCCACGGTGATTAAAGTTGGGTTAATTAGTCTGGTGACCGTTGCTGATGACTGTTTCTCTGTCCCATGATGGTGATGTAAGGATGTTGCTTATTCTCGATTGGGAATGATGGTCAGAAGCGTAAATCTCGCCGTACCCTGCACGCGGAAACCAATGAAGCATCCTCGTTGATGTTGTTGTCTCTTTCTTCTAGAAGATTACTTCCCAAATGCGTTGTAAGCATATCATTGGCCTGATTTCGGACTCTTTCAGATCATGCACTGATTCTAGTTTTAGCTTTGTCAATTCCCGTAGTACTTGTGTCTGCAAATATTGTGATAAGAAAGCCAATTGAAGAAAATAGAGGCAATGCAATCATTTCTATTGCTCAACTGCATTTTAGTTCTAGTTGCGCCCTCAAGTCGTAAAGTTCGATTTAAACGATGTAGACGATGTAAGCTCATAAACATCTAGAGCGATCTGGATTATTTGTATGTGGAACGGCGGACTATCCTCCATAGCTAGCTCCGGGACTTCGTCCGCTGCTTACCACATCAACAGCCCATCATCAACCATTAAAAGAGCGACAATGGCAGGAAAAGAGGATATCGACAGTCACATTAGGTCTGACTCATGGACACTGGCGGGCAATCCCCCAGAAGTTGCCCGGTATAAGCACCTAAATTTGTTCCAAGGATATTTGGAATCGCACCACAAGGCTATCCGTGTTGCCTTCCAAATAGCCGTCACCATGCCAGCCTTGTCGTAGGTGGAAACTGTATTGAGCGCTACGGTAAGCGCTTGATATTTTTGTGACCAAGGCACTGCATATGGCGTGGTTCTGTTTCTCCAATTCGTTCAAGCTCCTCGGAAAAACTCAATAGAGCTTATTGGAAGCTGTGCCAAGCTCGCCTCTAAGCGACTCAAGCGACTATAATTCAGCCACTCAGATACTTCCAGTTGTCAGCACCAAGGGTTGGCAGCAGTCCTATGTTCAAGGTATAAATAGTAGACAGTGAGTTGAAGAAGTTTCTCTGTAGTTTCCAAACATCTTCGTTTCTCTTCAATCATTCAACAAAGCACTATTGTAACAACCGCCACCATGCTTCATCTCGACTTGATTAGCACCCTCAAGGACATGTTTGGGCGGGTTGACAACGCCAGACCGTGTATGTTCAAATTCATGTTGGCAAGCAGAGTCTCATCTAATAGCAATGCCTTCTCATATAGCCCATGCCAGAGGTGTCTTCGTCACAGGCTCCTTCACCCCAACTGATGAGGCCAAGGAATGGTCCACTGCACCTCACTTCAGTTCCTCTTCAACCCCAGTCATAGCTAGATTCTCTCTCTTCACTGGTATCCCGAATTTGCCAGCGACTGACCCCAACGCAAATCCTCATGGTTTTGCTGTCCGATTCCTGATTGGGGAGGATGTCAAGACCGACATCATCTGCCAATCCTCAACTGTATTCCCTGCAAATACGGGGGAGGGTGTTCTTGCTTTCTTCCGTAATTACAGAGACGGCACTTTGGAAGAATACGTCAAAGACCATCCCGAAGCCCTCCCTTTCATGCAGGAGGATAGAAAAACCCCAAAGAACTTTGGTACCCAGTCGTTCTACTCCATCAACGCTTTCAAGTTTATCAACGCTGCTGGTAAAAGCGCCTTCATACGATATCGCTGGGTTCCGTTGTCGGGGAGACAGTTTCTGACACAGAGCGAGCTTGAGGCCAAGGGGCCGAATTTTCTCTTCGACGAGCTACCTGGTGTCTTTGCACAAGGACCGATTAGCTTCAAGCTGGTAGCACAGGTAGCTGGGGAAGATGACATTACCCATAACTGCAACGAAATATGGCCAGAGGACCGTCAGCTGGTGGAGCTTGGTGTGCTCACCCTGACCGCGGTTACCGATAAGGAAGCTCTTCCTCCTCAGAAGAACACCATCGTGTATAATGTCATGCCTGGCGTGCCAGGTATTGAGCCATCGGATGATCCTGTGCTGGCGGCTCGCGCACGGGTGTACGTGACAAGTGGACAGACTCGACGGGAAGCTGAGCCCGAAAATTAGTCACATGATTGTAAGGAAGCGTTGAGCGTTGACTTACAATGGATGAACCAAAAGAAGGACGACACGGATGTGTGATTTCTGAGGAAAAGAACATGTTGATATCAGGTACCAAATTCTTCTTAGCTGTTATAAAAGAGATTCAGAACCACGCCACTTGACAGTGACCATCATTCGTGACGATTGCACTCACCATGTTTGATGCTGATCTGATGGATATCAACGATTGAACTTCTCAAGTACAGAGCATTTTGCCTGCCTTTTGAACTTGATGGATGGTTGGGAAATCTCGTGTAGTTGTTCTTTCGCCTACCCCGTTATGGTCTTTTACCTACTCACTACATTAGCCAGCTAAAGATAGAGGAAAATGAAGTGTTGTATGTGTTATGCTGCTCAAATCTCTGTTTGTACTCGGAAAGTATCTGGACATACCTCATTGGTGATTCCACGTCGTTGGATCAGGCAGACGGTCTGTTGAAAATCTTAGTGAATGCCAGTATCCGTCAGCATTTACGTAAACGTAAATAGGGAACTTGCAGATGATAAGTGGCAAACGACCTCGCGGTTTGTTTCAATTATTTAGACTCATGGGGAAAGTCCAGCTCTACCAAGGTAGGCTTACCCAGTTCCATTTGCCTTTTGGAACAGAGTTGATAAATTGGGAATAAAATACTCGAAGTCAGCGACTATGGTGGTGGGCAGGTTAGGGAACAACTTACCGGTGGATATGCCCGTAGGCGCCACCATCCACCACTTCCGCTCCTCTTTGTTATCGACAAAACTTCGATTTCATGTACTTTGATTTCGTGGGCCGGCCGATGGAAAATAAATCTGCTGTTGTTAGTAATTGGACAATGACTAGATGGGGGTACAACTGGCCAGAGTATATGCCCGTAGGCGCCACCACCCTCCGCTTCCGCTCCGCTTATATATGCTTTTTCAATTCTCTTATCTTTGTTCGATCGTATTCGATGGTTGCTTGGGTATGTTGGCGATATCGTGGGATTTTCGCGGTGCTATATCTTGTTCTACTTTGGTTCTTGGATCGGTCGGCCGGTCGCTATGTCTACTTGCGTTTTCGAACCGTGTCGATGAACAGTTGGCTAGTCTTAAAGTATCGTTGGTCGAGCAAATTACCTGGTAAAAGAACAAAAGTTAGCAGAGGTTCATGGAAAGAGCAAGGCCTGGGAGAAGTCAGCGTATTGTCTATTTGAAAGGATATGGTGACTTAGCTGGATGAAGGTACGCCCCGCCGAGTATAGAAACTATCCAAAGTCAGTAATCAACCTTTCTTTCGTCTGTTTGGACAGGGAGACTTAGAATTGTTCTGGAGAAAAGAGTATGGCCGCCCGCCCGCCCACATGAAGTAGAGGAGACTGCTATGAAAAATTAGTAACTGATCAATACAGAGAAGGGAGCGGAAGACAAAGGATTGAGTGTTGTGTAAAACATAATGTGGACACGCTTGTAGACTTGAGAGCACGTGAGAAGCAGGCAGAAGAAGGCTATCAAGTATCAGCTGCTCATGTTGGTTATTTGCTTTGAGAAAGGGGATACTCGGCTATGTCAAGATGACGAAGATACGTGAGACACTGGCGACGGAAAGAGAGTCAAGCCAGTTCTGTTGAAGATGGCATGTGCTGGGTATCGTGTACGTGGAGACATTTTTTGCGTCCTAGAGAGAATTAGCAAGAAACATGAGGAGAGAAGAAGGGAGAATTCAGCTCTTGGAATGGCGCTGTGAGATAATATGAGAGTCGACAAGCTTTGCATATTCAAGATACGGATTCTTTCTATCAAAATAGTTAGCCATGTGATAGCAGAGTGAGAAAGGGGGAAATATGATTATTGAATGATATGCCGCTGCTGCCATAAGGTTAGTAGAGAACAAAGATAGCAAACAGCTACGTAGAGGCGAAAATTTACTTGGACAAAGAGAACAACGTTGGGTGCGACTTTATCTTGTGCCTGTGACAGCGAAAGCAAGCGAAATCGCAATAGATATTGCAGGTCTTTTCCTGTCCATGGACAACGTGATTAGGTATGTTCACGAGGGGTTGGGGTAAGAGACACTTAGCAGCAGAGAACAACAAGGACAACGTCAATTTAAAATCTAGAACAAGCAAGTTATTTTCTGAGCAGATCAATCAAATAGAGGGACTTAGCCGATGTGAAAAGCAGAAGATTGTGCGAAGAGGAGGGAGATCCATCGACGGAAAACTATTGAATATTATTATCTATGCGTAAACAAGAGGAGTTGACTTAGTCCTAAGAGATCTGTAGTGGCACAGGGATGCCAGCTTGGCAGTGATCGCCGAGGGCGTATCTTCTCTTGCTTCGTCGGGTAAGAATCGAGGTCAAGTAGCAGATGTCATCAAAGCTAAACTCTGGTGTCACTACAAGGAAGCAAAAGATACTGGGATGAAGATGGGGAGGGATTGATGAAAAAAATTAAAACTTAGTCTTGGAACAAAAAGAAATGGAAAACTGATTATCTCGCGTTGAGCAAGAGGGAGACGGAGAAGGTATCCTAGAATATATCAACACTAGCAGATTTTCTAGGGAGAACTTGGGAGAGGAAATTGAAAATAGGAAAACGACCTATTTGGAGGAAGATTTGAATCTTGGTACAATGGGCGGGTGGTTGGTTGATGGTTGATGCAGCTTTGTTGGTATGTCGAGATGTTGAAAAGAAAAGGGTTCGTTTGTGCGAGTGGAAGATTTGTGGGGTTTAAATCTGCCAAATAATCAGGGGGCCAGCAGCCTACGTGTATTGTGGCAGCTGCTCTATAGATACAAACCTGCTGTAAAATCAAAATGTGAAAAACGCAAGAAGATAAAAGAGGATGTAGATAACAGAATAAGAGTAAAACAAGCATACAATTACAAAGGCATATATGCCAAATCATAATGAGTTAATATTTTGATTCTCGAGTTTGATTTACTATTGTTATTGAATGAAGCAATTTAAGTTTTATTTTCAATAGGATTGTGATTCATAGACATAGAGGTCGTTGACCCGCTGGCCCCCTCCCCCCTGGATTGTGAACTGGCAGCCAGCTGTTTGCACAATCACTTTTTTATCACTTGTTTTTTAACTGCTGAGGTGCAAAAAAAATTCCCTTCTATTTTAGTTTTTCTTCTCTGGAAATTCTTCTACTGCCTTTCCCAAGTTCCATAACAAACTTGGTCAGCTCAGCTTGCCTTCTTCAACTCTTGAGGATTTCCACTTTGCACTCTGCATTATCTTAGATATTATCTAGGATATCACAACATTTATTCGCCTCAGGATTCCAGGTAAGTTCTAACTGTATACAAAGATCCCTAGCACGCATAGTAACCCTGAAAATCAGCAGTTCTTTCCCCCAAGATCAAACGCCCATCTGCGTACCTTCGTCAACAAACACCTATTCATCAACAAGAAGATACTCTTTAGCCAACATCATTATGTCTGATCTTCGAGAAGAAGAGACTTCTGTCGGCAGCAACATGCCTGATCACCAAGAACAGACTTCCACTACCTCTTCCGCGTCCGGTTGCCACCACGACGTTGCTTCCTCAGGTTCGCCCATGCTCGGTGATCAGGAGCAGGGTAGTTCTACCATGCAGAATGCCCCTGATAATCAGGATGAAATTACTTCTGCCATGAATCTACTTGAGCTTGAGTCTGCTCTCACGCCCACCATCACTGTTGTCGAGGCTCTTCTTCTGTCTGGATTGAACATCTCCGTCAAAAACATCATCGAGGCACTCCAACTCATCGAAGCACTGGTAGACACCGTGTCATCTAACCAGACTCCTCCCTTTATCAAGGTCATCAAACACAATGTCGATACAAATGCCTACGCCAAACTCTCCAAGGGCAAGAAGGGATCCAGCTCCAGTGCTCAAGAAGATTCCCCCGAGAAGATTACTCCTCACGCTGCATGTGCTCGATGCCAACATGACCCTGCCATCACCGAGCCAGCACTAACTCTCCGATCCTGCCTCAACTGCGAAGCTGTAGAATACTGCAGCGTGGAATGCCAGCTCACAGACTGGATGGCCCACAGAAACCTCTTTTGTGTCAATCCCTCCGTCATTCCCCTCGACACTCTGGCTAAGCCTCATCGTGTGCCGTTTCTCAAGACGCACATCACCAACGCTTTCGCCCGCCTCGCCAAGGGCATCTGGCTGCACGATCGCCACAAACAAGACGTGTATGCCCTCCTCATCGACTCCTTCCGGCTCCGAGAGGCCGACGACTTCACCTACGGCGGCATGACGAACAACGACAGCGTTTACAGCGGTCGTGTAAGCTCTTGCCCGGCGTTCCGTCGCTTCTTGTACCAAGCCGAGGCCAAGGGCTTGATGCCCCCTTGGTGGTCTGACCAGAAGCGTGTCGAGTGCCTTACCAAGGGCATCGACAAACGACAGGACAACTACCACGACCTCCACGCCATGACCCGGGACATTGAGATTGTGGTTGTGTACGAAGATGCCATCATGACGATGCAACTGCGGATGTTTGCAGAGTCGGTTTTGGGTAAGGGAGCCGCGGGCTCGGATGGGCGGCTGATGCTGCAGAAGATGGTGGTGGCCGAGGAGTCGGCGCGAGTTTTGTCGAAGTAGTTTTTTGGGGGGGTTTTCTTTGTTTTTTTTTTTTCGGGTAGTTCCTTTTCTTCTTCTTTTCTGGTCGTTTATTTTTCTATTTGTGTAGTATCGTGTAATCCAGTAATCCATTTGAAACATGCACATGTCTTGACTCCTGGACTCTTGAGTGACTTTAATCACCTGTGTTATTTAAATGTGTTTTGTATTACTTCACTTTGTTCTGTTTAAGCCGCCCTCCGCCAATTCACCTGCAGACAAAATTCACGTATGCTTGCACAAAGATCTTACCCTGTCCATTGCTCGAAAGAATTCTTTCCACCGTGTTCCACGACTGTAACAACGGCTCTCCCCATTTGTTTGCGGGTGCCGAACGTCCATTTTCTGAAGCAATAGCTATATTCAGATTAACATCCACTTCTAATAATATCTTAATCATTCCGGTATGCTTAATCAAAACTGCTTTTAGGAGTGCTGTATATCCATTAGAGGAGGAGCCGGTTTTGTGGCTTACACAGGTCTTCAGCTCAACGCCATGTCATGTCCAGCCGCTTTGGATGGCGATCCAATCTTGTAAACAGCCACGAAAAGTAATAGGAATGGTGATGAGAACTATCGTCATCTGATCTCCAGCTTGGTCCATTCTGGCTGCCCCCCGAATCTCAATCTTGCCAAATGATCGCCAGTGGGCACGCTCGACGCATGTCGTCGGCGAGCTGTAAAGCTTAAGTTATGCATGGAAAGCTTACCTATTTCGATGTGAGTTTCTGTACAAATGGAGCATATCTCTGTGGTAAGTTCCATTGTCACTTAATTAGGGCTTCTACGGTTTTGCGTCACATACTGAGATCCAGATATAATTGACAACATGTAACCTTGCCCTTGCCAACATACGCCTAAGATTGGAACCTTCGGGATCAAGAGATGCTCTTTGAGTTGGAAGATAAATGAAGACAAAACTCACCTGAAAGATAGACCAAAGTGGCTAACTCATCTCCAAATTCAGCTTGTCCCCTCTCAGAGTTGCAGAGATGGGGGGAGGGTGGTAGGTTCAATGCTGGAATGCAAATACCCTACCACGACGCCTGTGGCGTGCCTTGGGAGGACTGCCAGAGACAACCATTGGAGCAATCCAAATTCGCAATACGACATTTGTCGAATTATACGCTGTGTTCTTGGTACGCTGAGTACAATTCTGGCTTGGAGTATCTAAGCTGAAGACGAGCTGAAGCAAGCTGAAGACAAGGTGATTGAATCCAATTTGTTTGTCTCAGCAGTGTGTAAGCCAATGACGGGAGATGAGGTAGAGCTCGAACTTTGCTAAAATTGCTCTTGCAGGTCTGCGGCTGAATGCAAACCACGGGGGGAGCGATCTGCTCAGGAGCGCAAGAGTCTCAGTGTTAAATAGGTCAGACCATCCCCCTTGTGTATTCCCAAGGGATGCTTCCAAGTTCTTTCATCTAAAATAAAGACTTTAAAGTGGCTCTCACAGTCAATATGAACCACATCAAGATCAATGGCAATTCCCGTTCAGCGGCGGGCGCCATGGGCATCATGTCCAGCACCGCCTTCGCTCAACCTCCGCCAGCGGTAACAGATTCCAACTACATCCTAATCCATACCACCGGTCCTTTGAACGCTCAACAAAAGCAAGCGCTTCGGGACAAACATGTCGACATCCTTGATTATAAGGGGGACGACGTTTACCTGTGCGGCTACAAGCCCAGCACTTTGGACCCCGTGAATAGCAGCCTTAGCGACTTCGTCACCAACACCGAGGTCTACCACCCGGAGTATGTCGTGGAACCAAAGCTCAAGGCAGGAAACGACGAAGAAGTAGCCGATGTAGCGGTTATTCTTCATGACGATGTCGGCAATGATAATCTCGAACGTGTGGCCGGTAACATCGCTGCCCAGGCCGGAATCTCCGCTGGCAGCGTCGAGATTCACGACCGCAAAGCATGCATCAAAGTTCCCAAGTCCAAGTTACCGCAGCTAGCACGCATCGACGAAGTCAAAGCCATCAACCAGGTGCAAACCCACCATCTCTTCAATAACGTTGCCGGTGGCATTCTTGAAGCCAATAAGCCAGTTGGAAAGCTCCAGGCCACTTATAAGGGAAAGGGACAAATTGTGTGCGTGGCGGATACCGGATTTGATACTGGTTTAAAGGAAAAGGATCGTTGCCACGAAGCGTTTGGTGATCGCGTTCTGTCTCTACACAATAGAGGCCGTGATCGCTCAGATACATGGCCCTTCCCTGCGGACGATCCAGATGGTCACGGTACGCACGTCTGTGGTTCCGTGCTCGGCAATGGCAAGCATACCGAACAAGGTCAAATTGAGGCGCCTGCTTCTGAGGCTAAGCTCATCATGCAATCCGTTTTTGATAGGTGGTATAAGAAAGGGAGTAAGGATCCCGCGCGGTGGGAGGCAGGGCTGGGAGGTATTGGCGATAGCTATCGCGACCTCTTCGATGGCGTCTTCCAGGAGGGAGCTCGGATCCATTCCAACTCTTGGGGCGCACAACCTGCGCCGTACGACATGGCTGAGTCGGGCCAGATTGATGGCTATCTCTGGGGAAACAAGGCCCTGACCGTGCTTTTTGCTGCTGGTAACTCGGCGATCGATGTTGATGCCAACCACGGCCACGTCGACCCTGGCTCGCTGTGCTCTCAGTCCGTCTGCAAGAATATTATCAGCGTTGGTGCGTCAGAGAATAACCGGCCGGGAGTAGAGTATCCGCTTGAAGGAGGCAAGCCGCTCGTTTACGGAGCATGGGAAGAGGACTTCCCCTGGGGGCCCATCTCCGTCGACAACGTTGCCAACAATCCAGAGGGCATGGCCGCGTTTAGTAGTCGTGGCCCCACGAAGCCCGATGGGCGTATTAAACCCGATGTTGTTGCTCCGGGGACCACCATCCTGTCGACTCGATCCTCGCACATTATAGGAGGCCATCACACTGAGTTTTGGGGACACAGCAGCGATGAGAAGTGGATCTATGAGGGCGGCACAAGCATGGCGACGCCCCTAGTTGCTGGCTGCTGCGCCGTAATCCGTGGCGCTCTCGTTGACAATGGCCATCGCGAGCCATCAGCTGCTCTTGTCAAGGCCATTTTGATCAACGGCGCTGTTCCCTTGAAAGGACAGTACAACCAAGCTTTGCCCAATGGTGAGTTTGGAGCATCCATGGATGCTCCAAACCCCAACTCTGGCTTCGGACGCGTCAACTTGACCAACTCTCTCCGTAATATCGTGGACAACCCCGAGAGTTCCGTTTATGGATTCCAAGATGTGACTGGTCAAGATTCCCTCGGAATGGACGGCCAGCATCGAAGTGAACATCCTGTTTCGGTCGAGATCCCAGCGGGTAGCCCATCGGCCCTGACCTTGAAGGTCACTCTCGTTTGGAACGACCCCCCGGGAGAACATTTGCAAAATGACCTAGACTTAATTGTGGCTGGAAGAGGTGCTGAGAAGCATGGAAACCAAGGTGACGGCTCTGGATTTGATCGACGTAATAATGTTGAGCAGGTTGTTTGGAAAAACGTGCAGCCTGGATCGTACCAGATCACCGTCCGTGCATTCAGAATACTCCGAGACCCCCAGCCGTTTGCTCTCGCTTGGAGAGCATTCGCATAGCTGATCCTTCTTTCGCCAAAACATTCGTTGATTATGATGATTTCAGGTGAACGGGTTCCATATTTCGTTAAAATGACGGACAGGAGAAACTCAAGGTCCCCCCTTTCACTAAATTGAGAACTCAAGCAGGGGCCCGAGCAAACTGAGATTGCTACTGCCGAAATCTTGTATAAAAGTATATGTATGTTTGACTGAGGATGTTTAATTCATCCAAAGATTGGAAACACTTTAGCTTTATTTCTACAATCAACAGAGGTTGATTAATTAATATCTGCGTAGTTGAGATTCTCACTTCTATTCTTTCATTGTCCAAGACTCCACAAGTAAATCCAGCATCGGTTGGGTTATAGTACAATATGGCTGTTTGTATAGGATAATCTTGGACCTTTCATTTCCCCTTGTTTCCGCGAGAGTGGGCTGTTTGCCAAGATCTCACATGGCTTAGTCTTCTACCACTTGTCCCGCTTCTCCCACAAACCGAGCGAAGTCAACCATGCTATGAACTGTAGGTTGGATTGACCCTAGTATAGAACTGCCGAAACTGTGTTCTTTCATACAAAGTCACAATACAGCTCAAGAGACTAAGTAAGCCCAGATGAGAGTAAGCTCATGTAACGAGCATTCTAACCAACAGCCACAATCTCTCCAAACAACTTCTCCCTCTTCATCGCAAAACTAGACACCACGACAACTGCTCCAGACACAATAACCAAGAAGAATGCAGTCTGCATCGCTTCCGTTATGGCAAGAATGACACGCATCTTCATATCATCACTTAGCTCCTCGAATAATATACTCTGAGCTCCGGCGATAACGGCGCGAATTTGCCCATCTGAGAAACCCTGGCCTTCCAGCACTCCCGAAACATTGCGCACAGCGGCAGACTCTAAGACGAGAACAGCGATGATAAGAGCAATGGTCGTGCCGCCCATCTAGCTCACATTTTGCATGCTCAGCGACTTGGCGACATCTTCCGGCGAGACTTTTAATGTAGCCACTGCATACCCTATTTGCATCGTCAAACCTGTTCCTACAGCAAGCACAACACTAATGCCGTAGATGCTAGACGTAGGCGTTTCAGGCTTCAAGTATACATATAACAGCAAACCTCCCACTGTGATAATGATCCCTGATACCAAATACATAGGCATGTAGTATTTGAGCTTGGAGAATAGATAGCCACTTGCAAGATTAAAGGCCACAGCCACAAGAAGAAAGGGAAGAAGGCGAAGCGCAGCTTTCAGTGCTGTGTCGTTTTGAACGAACTGGAAGTAGATGGGAATGAAGTAAGTCGGTATGTAAAGCGCCGAATAAGAGGCCGCAGAGCAGATGGCGGTAAGAACCTGCGACCTGGACCGAAGCATATGAACGGGAAATGAGCGAGTTTATGGTGTGGTGAAGATGCAATAGTATTGCTGCACCAGATACAATATAGTGAGCAATCCGAAAACTATGATTGTAGCAATGGTGCGCCCATCTTGCCATCTCCAGGCACCGCCAGCGAAGACAAAGGCCAACGAGAATGCCACCCATAATCCCGTGCTGAGTACGCTTCCAACGTAGTCGACGCTCTTTATTCGAACCCAGAGTGAGATTCCTCGAACAGGATGAACATTGGGGAGATTGAATATGTAGATGGGGGCAGTCGCTACTCCAATGACAAGATTGATAAAAAAAACCCAGCGCCATGTAGCCCTCGAGACAGTAAAGAGGCCGCCGATAACAGGACCTAGGCAGGCACCAACTCCCCAAACAAATCCAATGCCATTGATATAGGTTCCCCTTTCTTCACGAGTGGCAAATGCAGAGATGTGGTTCAGAACGCCGAGGTATAATCCCGTCCCGCCCATTCCAGCGATAACTCGCCCAACGATGAGAACATTCATGGATGGTGCGGCGCCGCAGAGTACGGAACCCAGTTCGAAGAGGACAACTCCTGCGATGTAGAGATACTTTAAGGAGAACATGCTGTAAAGTGCTCCGTATGGTAAGATGACTGCCACGGAACCCAGAGTAAATCCGGCAACAAGCCACGCAAGTTGTGAGATATCTTCGAATGTCTCAATAACCGCGCTCTGAACGTCGGCTGCTATGGTGGGATCAAGCCCGTATAATAGGGCAGTGGCATATAAAGCCGAACAAAGAAGAAACCATCTGATGCCAGTAATCTTCCTGACATTATCGCGAGTTGAAGTCTTGTCATCAAGATGGCGAGGCTCTAATGGCAGTGTATCTTCTCGGAAGAAGGCTGCGGTCGTCCACCTTGCTCAATCTGCACTTCTTTCTGCTACCGAGTTGGTTGGCCCTCATGCGGCCCTGATCCAGATGATCCTGTGAGTGTTGGGCTTTTCTCCATTGGAGGAGAATAGAAGTTGGAGTCTTCTGCCATTGATATCTGAGCAATATGTTTCTGTAGGGTCGATTTTCACGGAAAGTGTAAGGAGAAAAACTATAAGAGGCGCGTATACAATGATAAATGGTGTGTAGAGTTTGAATTGTCGAAGTTACTGGCTACTAATCTGCCAGTCTTGATGTGTGGATTAAGACAACATCAAAGGTAGGCAAAGGGCCTCTTTAAGTGTTTTGATCTCAGCAACGCCGTGCTCGAATGGGACTGACCAATTTTACATTCTAATATTACGAACAAGCCGAAAATGTTCACTCCAACCGCTTTACCCCATCTCTGCTCATCATATTTCTTTGATGTAGAACATGGATCGGCTACAACGCCGCTTTAGCCGCACTGTTAGAAGTCGAAGCGGGAATCGTAGCTATATTAATTACTGGATTAGGATATTCTCCAATTGTCTTTGTAAGTATTTTAAAGTGTAGGGGACGTTTTAATCCACTAATTACTTGATAAGGAGACTGACAAAGATAATACCCAAACCGAAGCATCGTTCTTTGGAGCAGGAAGGGGTGTGTTTCCATTTTGGTGACTACATCTAGCCCTATTTACTTTAAACGGCAAACCATCCCGCATTAAGAGGAAATTGAATATAAAGACAGATGGTAAGGAGCTGAAGGGAAAAGTAAAGAGCCAACCAGCTCTCATTCTCGGAGCAGCACACACATCCTTTAAACGAGAGCTGAGACCTCATGCAGCCTACACTTTTGAATCACAAATTCTAAGCCGGGACTCGCGTTGGATATACGTCAGATCTTGGTTCTAATAGTCCAGACGTGGAAAGAAACAATCGTGAGAACTCTACGAGATTATAATGAAATGATGAAGCATGAGAAAACTTTACGTTGTATTTTTTTTTAAACATAGTCATTGCTGTGCTGAATGCTATCCCTTATATTTGGGGCATGTGGTACAGTTCTTTTTGTGAACACTATCTCTCCCGCACCCTTACGTTCCACTGCGCAGTGTGTCATACGGATAACTGTGTACATGTATTCCAAAGAGAATATTAACACGTGAGTATGAAGCGATTCATTTACGTAGCAATTCACGCCCGCGTAGTCCAAAGATTGACAGGGTGCGGGACATACTGTTAAGCTGCGGCTGGTGGCATATGCAAACAACAACAACAAGGGAGTCATTCGCATCTTATTTTCATGACAAACGGCTGACTGATCGTATGACGACGTATTAAGCTGCAGTTTGTACAAGATTGTACAACCTGGACAATGAATGTGCAGTCGAACCTTTGACAAACGGACGCCGGAACTGTAAACTTGAAGTTTACGGCATGAGGTTATGCTCCTAACATATTCTTCTTTGATGCATTTAATCGTGCAAGAAAAAAGATACATGTTGTTGGTTGAGCTTTAAAGCTTGGGACTAGTTTGCAGAAAATCGTCGAGCTATTGGGTGAAGGATCAATGCTGGTGACAACGGTCTAATGGATATCTGTATTTGAGCATTACGAGGAGTCTAAATATCGTTTTGTAACTTTACAACCAATTGGCTTTGTCCCGCCTTACACAGTTTAGCATAGGCCCTTCAAGCATGGATTCACAGACGGTCTGAGGTTGTTTCTTTATAATCAGTTCTTATAAGACTGGGAAAACATGGCGTACGGATAAGCGTCTCACCACGGGAATAGCTTCTATTTCCGGCCATTCCACCCACAGAGAGTTGCCCGCCCATCAAATCATCCCCGCAGGTTGTGCCTCACGGATCCCACCCGAAAGCACCTCTATTCCCTGTACGCAGATACCTAAGTTGATGGCATGACTTGTCGGAACAGGGAACCGATTCCACTAAACAGCGGTGCTAGTCCCGCCGCAGGCATTTTATCCATTCAATCACAATCGGCGTCCGTAATCCCAGTAAGAGACGGCCCAGAAGCACGTTAAAAGGATCCGTCATTGCGAGATAAGAACCTTGGCCGAAGTCGCAAATCGCGGCCCTTATCCACCAGCATATGTCATGTCTTTATCTCAGGGTTGCAAACGAATCAGAAGCAATTAACCGATTGGGGGAACATCTATTACAACGTATTGTCAGGTACTTAAAATGGGAGATGTGAATTATCAACTTCTTATCTAGTTAGTTGTCAACTATTCTTCAAGTTGAGTACAAATCGAATCGCTTGCCTCTTGCATCGCTCCATGTCTCCAATTATCCAGAAACAGAACAAGGGACTTTTTTCCCCGATCCCAATCCGGCCTACTCTAAGACGTAATATGCAAGGGGCCTAGCTGTGGTGGCGGGGATGTGCAGCTCGGTTTGGAGCTCTTCGGAGCACTGATAAACCGAGCTCGATCCCGTTTTCGCTTCACCACTTTCGTCGCTCCTCTGTCCCTGTTCCCCGTTCGAAACTTGCCCGAATCACCAGCTGCCGATTCGCATCTTCACTATGGCAATGGCTAAGCTGTCCATGCTCTTGGCCGGCGTCGCTGGTGCTTCCGCGTACATCGCGGCCCCGGCTGGAGGCTTCGGCCAAGCGCCGCTCAGCTCCATCACGCCGTCCAAGTATCAGTGCGACTTGCCTCCGGTTCTGGATCCGACAGGCGACGGGTTGCCTTCTGCCAATGAGCTTTTCTCTTCCAAACTGGCACGCGACCAGCAGGTCAAGCGCCTTCAGGCCATTGTCCAAGTCCCATCCATGTCTTACGACGACCTACGCGACGTCGGTCACGATGAGCGCTGGGAACCTTTCTACAAACTTCACGATGTCTTGAAAGAGACATTCCCCGTCGTGTGAGCGGGGCCTACTCTCAGTCGCGTTCTGATCAAACTTCTAACAGCCAACAGGCACAAGCGGGCTAAATTGGAAAAGGTCAACACTCTCGGCCTTCTTTACACTATCCAGGGTTCAGACGAGTCCCTCAAGCCGGTGCTATTGATGGCTCACCAAGACGTCGTCCCGGTTGCCGATCCGTCGACGTGGACTTACCCTCCCTTCGATGCCGTGTATGATGGCGAGTACATCTGGGGACGCGGAGTTTCAGACGACAAGAACAGTCTCACAGCAGTCTTATCAGCATTTGAGTCACTGTTATCCAATAGCGACTGGGTACCGAAGCGCACGTTTGTGCTCGCGTTTGGATTTGACGAGGAGTGCTCTGGCTTCCGCGGCGCCGGCAAGATTGCACCCCTTCTCAAGGAGCGGTACGGCAAGGACAGTTTCGCTGCTATCCTGGATGAGGGAGGCCTTGGATTGCAGGAGGTCGGCAACACACTCTACGTTCTCCCAGCCGTGTCGGAGAAGGGCCACATCGACATCTTCTTCGAGCTGGACGTGGTTGGCGGCCACAGCTCCATTCCGTTCCCTCACACGGGCATTGGCATCATTGCTGAAATCATTACCGAGCTTGAATCGCATCCGTTCAAGGCTGGCCTGATTGAGGATGGCCCGGTGCACAACCATCTCAAATGCCAAGCGCGGTACTCACCTGAAGCCTACCCCGACCTTACCAAGCTGGTTCAACGGGGGGATTTGGAAGGCATCACGCATTTCCTGGTCAGGGCGGGCCGAAACACCCAATACATTGTCCAGACCTCACAGGCTGTCGACGTGATCAACGGTGGACAAAAGATGAACGCCATGCCGGAGAAGACGGTTCTCGGTGTCAACTACCGAGTTGCCCACCAAAATAGCCTTGCCGAAGTTCAGCACAATGCTGTTCGACGTGTTCGCAACATCATCAAGAAATACGGCCTGACCCTCAAGCCTTTTGAGGGAGACGATGAATATCAGAAATACGTCGCCGGCCTGGAGTCTGAGGAGGAGGTCGAGTCGCACGAGGTCATCGACTACAAGGGCACTTTGATACTGTCAACTAATGGCAAATCTCACCCCAGCCCCGTCTCTCCCACCAGTGGCGCGGCTTGGGATGTTTTTGCCGGCACCGTTCGACACACTTTTGCTTTCGAGAATGGAACCGTGGTTCCTACTGGAGAGATTATGACGGGCAACACCGACACCCGCCATTACATTGGTAAGTTATGCGATGACTTTGGAGAGAGTTCTTGTTGAATTTTACTGATAATTGATGGTAGGCCTTTCGGACAACATTTGGCGATTCACGCCTGATCGATACCACGCTGAGAACAACATCCACACTATTGACGAGCACGCCCGCGTTGATGGACACATTGAGATGCTCAAGTTTTACTACGACTTTGTGCGCAACTTTGACGCCGCCAAGTTCTAAGCAGAATGAGGAGACTGTTGGATACAGGGAATGAAATCTGTATATATATGTAGGTATGTCAAGCAATTGTATCGAAGACTGCGTTTCTCATCATGTGTTACTACCTTAGCCTCCGAGTTGGCGCGAGTCTCAAAGAAGTTGAAGTCTGGTGGAAAAGTACAATTTCCTACATGCAATACAATATCCAAAACGATGACAAAGACATTCGTTACTCACAGTAGTCTCTCCTATTCCCCTAACCCTAATGACACAAGTACGTGATTCTCCATGTTTCTCCAGATTCAGACGAGTTCTGGGGAAGAGGCCAAAGATACCGGTGTACTTCCTTATCCGGCTTATCGAAATTAGCCGAGGGTAAATCATGCAATTCCGATTCGTCAGAAATGCCGGGGAACTTGTCCATTCCCCACCCCCAGCTGAAGACGCCCTTTAAGTCTCCATAAGCCGAAGCCGAAGAATGATTAAGCTGGAGCAGAACCAAGTGAAAAATAACTGGGAGACCGTTTACCGTTTGCTGGATATTTTCCCCACGATTTCTCAGGCTCGCATGAAACCAGAATCTGTTCAATTTCGCATCTCTTATCTGCAATCTCTGATCTTAAACCCACACCACCCAAGGCCTCCTCCGTATCGTCTCTCCACATTGAGGCAAAGGCGAACCAACGACAATCTTCAACCTGAGAGGCTGACAATACAAAAGTTCCCCCTGATTCACCACAATCCGGAAGCCAAGTGGAGGTAATGGGCTCGTCCAAGTCAGATGAAGAGGCCTCAGGTCCCGGCTCCCCGCTATCACGGACTCGGCTCCGGGCAAGCCATGCCTGTACCGTCTGCAGAATACGCAAGGTGAGGTGTGATGTGGTGGTAACTGGATTTCCGTGCACAAACTGCCGGCTGGATTCGGCCAATTGCAAGGTCACGCCGCGGAAGCGGAAATGGTAAGTTGACATGACATGTGGAGAGCATATCACAGCCATACTGATTCGTCTTATCTTGACAAAGGGAACAACGGGTGAAGCGGGTCATAGAACAAGAGGAAAAGGAGCGCTTGGACCAGTCTCGGTCTCTGGCTGAAGAGAAGCTGAGGCCTTCACGTCACGTCCACTCTGCTCCAATGGCACAGACAGAAGTAAAGAGTGATCACACACCATCCTCATCGTCTAGTCCGCCGTCTAGGACAACCACGACACCATCCACAATACCGGTCTTTCAGCAGGATGATTCAGACTCTCACACCGAGGCCTCAAAACACAACTTCACCTTCACTGATGGCACCATCGATCCAAGCCAAATTGGACGGCGACCTAGCCTCGATAGTGTTGGCAACCCTTGGGGGCTTGACTACGACAAAACCACCATCTTCGGGTTGCAGCCACCTGCGCGTTCCGTACCTTACACCAACTACTATTTTGTCGATCCCGGCTACCTCAATCAACTCAGCCATACCGATGTCAAGTACCTGACAGAAAAAGGCTGTCTCTCCTTGCCCTCAGACACGTTATTGGAAGAATTCTTTCATCAATACTTCTCACATGTTCACCCCATCATCCCTCTGCTCAGCGAGGCAGAATTCTGGGCAGCAGAAGCTCGCATTCCCCTTCTCTTGATTCGGGCCATACTATTCATCTCATCTCCCGTAAGCCCATCTATTGCTTCAATATTTGTGAATCAAGATTGACATGTCCACAGTATGTTTCGCCGTCAACACTGCTCAGCCTTGGATATAGCAGCGTGCAATCGGCTCACACCGAGCTTTACACATTAGCAAAGGTTTGAGGATTACACCTAGTGCCATATGAGAGTGATTCTAACAAGTCCTTTCACAACATAGACAATGATGCAGTTCGATATCCACAGAAACAATGTTGTCAATGCCCAGGTAGCCGTCATGCTAACCTACCACTCGCCTGCGCCAAGCGACACGACAAACACACACTGGATGGTAAACGCAGTTCACTACGCTCGATGTGCTCGAGCGGATCAGTACTACACCCTCGGTGACGACAACCCCTCAAAGCTCATCCTCAAACGACTCTGGTGGGCCTGCATATTGCGAGACAGGGTCATGTCTTTGAGCTTACGACGACCGTTAAACATTGGATGCGACGAATTCGACTTTAGTCTCCCAGGACTCAGCCTCGCCGACTTCTCGGATGAGCTAGGGGTCTCCACGGTATACGATAGGCCGACGAAGCAGATTTTGGCGCACATGATGTCGGCATTTTGCGAACTCATCATTCCGTTGAACAAGGCTCTTGTTATTCTCTACCCTGCATCCGGCCTCAAGATTGTTAACTCAGATGCGGATGTTCAGAAGGAATCTGATGCTTGCGTTGAAACTCTCCAGTTGTTGGATGTTTGGTACCGCAAAACAAAGGAACGATTCGAAATTTCCACGCCATCAATCGGCATCCACAAGGCATTGACAATGTTTACCAAGATGACGTTTATCTACTACTAGTAAGTCCAACAGATGTTTTGAACAGCAGGAGATGAGCCATGCGCTGACATCTTTACCAGTTCTGCGAGAGCAAGTTTGTGCTATCACATGATGTTATTATCCGTATCCAATCCTAGTCATGCTTCCGATGCACAGGAGAATGATTTGCAAGTGCAAGCAGAAATGGACTCTGCCTTGAAGGGCATTACCGGAGTCTTCATGCATTTGGCTCGTCTAGGCCTTGTTCAGTACTTGCCAAACACATTGTAAGCAAGCCGTCTTCTTTTACTCGGATCTTCATGCTGACCCGATTACCAGCGTCACCTTCTCCGCCATTCCGCTTATATGGCAAGTTTTGGACGCAAAAATACTCAATACCGGAACTCTCGCCGCAGACAACAAGCGTGACCTAATGGTCTACACAAACGTCATGAACAAGTTCCGAAGCCTCCACGAAAACGCCAACAACGTCCTCAAATTCATCAAACAAATCATCGCGCACATCCAAACAACGGAATCCGTCGAGATTGCCCAACAGGAGCAGCTGACAGACACATGCTTCCCTCCCGAGCTTCTATCCAGCTTCCCACCCGGGGGGAAGACCCAGGAGAGGGATAAGGAGCCGAAAAATAAATGGGCTCAATTGTTTGCCGGAAAACCGCGGACCTACCTTCGAATAGCGTTGACAATTCAGCATTCTCTTTCGAGCGGTCACTTTCCCTCGGAAGAAGACTTTCCCAAAGCTCTGCAGATGGTCAGTTTTGCGGAGGATACGATGGATAATGGAGTTGATGTTGGGCTGTACAAGTATTTGCAGCACATGGAGGATTTTTTGCTGTCTGCGTGATTACGAGAATCTGGTAGCGGACAAATTTCGTAGTGTTTCATTCCCATCTTTATTAGCGACATGCCTAGAAGAAATACTTAAAATAATTTTTTTCGCTTCAATACAACACAGACCGTCTTTTGAAGATGTAGAAACCCCCGAACTGAACCGATTTTTGCGCTTCATTGCTAAGGAATATCCCTGTTGTACTTCACATCCTGAGATCCCGCAACCCTGACGTTTTATGTTTCTCGCGCCATTGTCTTGTCAATGGATATATCCAAATAAAAAGAATCATTATCTGCTCTTCTCCTTCCATAGAGAGCCGCTATCCGACAATGTGTTCTATTTTTTAATTTCGCCTCCGGACTCGACTTCATGCTTGGAGTAACCAGCCGCTGTCAATGATTGCCCGTTGACATTGACCGGTTTGGCAGCTAATAACCCATAAGTTTCTCTGGTCACTTCACAATAGACGGATTCATCTGAGGGGATTCTTACCGGATAAGATAAAGTAAAGACGTGCCGGCTTGTCTGTACTGTTCGTCCAGCCGTGGATTGTGCCGCGCTGGACGCAGACATCACCCGGCTTCATATGGATTTCGACACCATCCTCAAGGTGACTAAACGAAAGACGTCAGTAAATTGACTCCAATCTAACATCCAAAATCTCACAGAGATGCAGCAAACATACCAAATAACTTCTCCACTAAACAGAATGCCGAAATCCAGCGATTCGGTTCGATGGAACAACATCTGTAAACATTCTCAGCATCAACCACCCCCACCAATTCCCAATTCCAGGTTAAATCGTATCGTACCCCTGCCTTGTCCACATTCGGCGGAATGTCTACGACTCGCAGGACGATTCCCTGCTTATTTGCCAAATCCGTGGTCCGGACCTTGGTTGGGTCCTCCCATCCATCGTTGGACACGGGGAACTCGTGAGTTTCGAATAACACGGCAAAGTTGGCCCCTATCGGTGTCGGCTGGCATGGGATAGTGCCGTCGGCAACAACAACGGCCTTGCCCTCTGAGTTGTGGCCGGTGACGATTCGTCTTGGGTCGGGGAACCAGGAAGTCATGGTGGGCTTGTGTAAATGGATTGGCGGCTGGGAGTGTTATCAAGAAGGGCGACCACTACAAGAACCAACCCCGGGGGGGGAATCTTCGAGTTATAGCTTGTAACCATTTGGATGCGCTGAATACGATTTGTAGAATCACATGACATCTAAGACAGCCAACGTGTCACTTTACTACTGGCATGCGGTGTAGCTGCAGAAACTTGGCGTCCCCCAAGTTGCTGTTTGCAGAAGCAATTTGCGCGATGTGGAAAAAGCGGAACAAAAGAGAGAGCAGATGCATGCGGGCTTTCGAAGATTTACCATCCCTCTAGTACAAGTCCAGTATGCAGCCCGGCCTACCCACAGTCCCAATGCCGCTGATTTGTTGTGGTTTCATTCACTGCCGGGTGTGTTCCATGCGGGGAGCTGTTGGGACGGCGCATTGTGAGAGACTAGAGCAGAGAAGAGGGACGGATCTTACCGGGGATGAAAGCAGCGAGTATCCGAAAGATAGGGGAGGAAACGGGTTAGTGTTGGAGATGCAGTGTAGCACTGATAGGGAAGAGACCAATGGATAGATGATTGTCGTGTATCCGACTTGGCGAATCATCTGGGCATTCTGAGCGCTTTTGTCTCAGACAGCTCAATCCATCCCAACAACTTTTTGCGCTGCAACTTTTTGCGGTGCGTGTACATGTAGATGTAACGGGTCAGGTCATATCATGATGCGAAAATCTGCATAACCGGGTCAATGCCTTCTTTCTTTGGTCTAAAACAGTGACAGTGAATGAAGTCATACGTACGTACCTGTGGCCGTGAAGGTGTTGTCGATCACACACTACACTTGTACATACATAAAGGCAACATTCAAACGTACATCTCAATGGCAGCAATCAAGGCATCAGCTCAAACTTGGTAACATGCACGAGCTTGCTATGAGTCCTGAATGAAAACAGCGCGCAGTCCTTCTTATACCCAATTAGCGCTCGGCACTTGACAATTCACATGCCGCTGCGCTAGAGTCAAAAAAGGACACGGAAATCCAACCTCGCGGGAAGCTTTGGTATCCAATGGAGCGGATACACTCGTACGGTACACAAGTTGGTCAGCAGTAAGCGATGAATCAAAGAACGAGGCCCGGATCGTCTTATGCTTATTTGGTCCTACGGGCGGAGCCGTGCCAAGCAAGCGGCCTGCTTTTCCGCCATTCCAGATGTTAGTTGGGACGTGTTGATGGTAGAATGCATATTGACTCCATGCCAACAGTAGTCGATAACGAGATCAAGACTATAACTCTCCGCACTCTATAGGAGTAAACTAGGATAAGGATAGGCCTCAATAACAACGGCTTGCGGAGTATGTGATGGAGGCTTCTCCGCTGACGATGAATAGCCTAATGACTCCTTGTATTAAAGAAGCTGAATGAGCGTTTTATCACCGCAACGTTGCTCGGAGTTATGTTGTATCATCCGTCATTGTCAACCCTTTGCTAACCATGGACTACTATACCCATGTGGTAATCATCGTCACACAAGCAAGCATCGTCGAATTGATGACAAGAAAGTAGCTTCCTTGGGCAAAAGCTGACAACAAGCCAAGCACTCCAACCTCCGCCTGTAGCTAGTCCGCGGGCCAATGAAAATGCCCGCCAGCCGAGCCAGCCTCTCACCGATCGTGGACTACTTTTCCGCTGTGAGATTGCGAATCTGGCGTCCCTCGGCAAGTCGGTGCCGGGGGACCAGGGTGGGGGCAGCTGGAAAGCCGACGGATGGTATTGAAGCCCGGAGGAGAGACAGTTTTCGGCCGTGAGTCCGCTTCAATGAAGAGTAGGTATACAAAAAAAAGATGTTTTTGCGCGTATAGCGAATGACACCAGACGGAAACTATAGATTAAACAGGAATGGTTGCGACTGAGAAAAGTACTGTCGAACTTAAGAGCTGTTATCTTAAAACTACGATTCAATCCCAGTTCGTCAAAATAGATTTGTGATCATGCAAGGACTCCTCCGCAAAGGCCCAGAGCTTAACTCCCGTGGATTGCATGGGTGGCTTGCTGCCCACGTTGTGAATTGTAAACTAAACATTGAAACACCGAGGACCCAGTGGAGTTTGGGAGCAAATTGGAGGCGACTTGACTAATTTATCAATAGCGTAATATATAAACTTGCGTGATTCGTGTACTCTTTTCAGCTCCCCTCTATTCTCTATTATCTACGCAAATAAAGCGGTATAGTTCAGTTGAGCGCTTTTCCTCAACTCGTTGTATTGCAGCATTAAACAGTCAGACAGCGCCGCAACTCTCAACCCTCTTTCGCAACCATGTTTCAAGGCCTTGGTAGCCTCTTAACTCAGGGTTGGCCCTCGAAGCCTACCTTCACTGAGAAGGAGTTGGGAGATCTCTCTGGAAAGGTCAGCAAAGCTACCACAACTCTTCTTGTTTACACTTAACCTTAAATCGTCATATTCACACCGAATTTTGTGTGGCAGGTTGTTATTGTGACTGGTGGATATTCGGGCGTCGGATATCAGCTCGCCAAAATTCTGTATGCGAAAAACGCAGTTGTGTACATTGCCGGTCGCCGTGAAGATGCCGGCCAAGACGCAATCAAGACGATAAAGGCGGCTCATCCCGACTCCAAGGGAAGGCTAGAGTTCTTACAGCTCGACTTGGCCGATTTAACATCCATCAAGGCCAGCGCAGATGCTTTCCTTGCAAAGGAGACTCGGCTCGACAATCTTTGGAACAATGCAGGAATCATGCGTTTGCCCAAGAACTCACCCACCAAATCGAAGCAGGTATGTCGTCGCACTTACATGTCATCGGCAAGGCTTAGTACGAGGTATCTAACATAGTCTTCATCCAGGAGCATGAGCTGATGCTCGCTGTTAATTGTTTTGGTCCCTTCCTCTTCACAAAGCTGCTGCATCCCCTCCTTGAATCAACGGCCAAATCCTTGCCAGCAGGAAGCGTTCGCGTTGTTTGGCTGGGATCGCTTATGATCCAAATCATGGCGCCCAAAGGTGGCATAGATCTTGACAATCTCGATTACAAGAAGAAGTTTCCAGACATCAATGTTAGATATGCAGTTAGCAAGACTGGAAATCTCTTTATTTGTAGCGAATGGGCCAAGCGAGATGCCGAGAAGGGAATTTTCCACTTGGTAAGGGAACTCATCATTATTTCTCGGCACCTTTCGTTATACTGACTACTCCTCTACTACAAAGGCTGCCAATCCCGGCAACCTCAAGACGCCTCTGCAGCGCGACATGCCTGCGTGGGAATACTATGCAATTGTAAGTACTTCGCATTTTACAAGACCAATTGAAGTGCAATTCTTTCTAACTCTCAAGTCAGATACCGCTCCTTCACGATCCCATCTTTGGTGCCTACACAGAATTATTTGCCGGCTTGTCTCCGGACGTCAAGCCAGAGCACAGCGGACGATTTGTCATTCCCTGGGGTCGATTTGGCTCGACTCGTCCTGACATTGATGCACACCTGGCTTCCAAGCAAGGAGAAGAGCCTACCAAGGCGACGAAATTCTTTGAGTATTGTGAGAGCCAGACCAGCGCTTATGCGTAAGATCTATCACGTTGCTCGGGAGAAGGAGGATTCGTGTGTGCGGCTCGGGATTCTTCAAAGAAGCTACAGTAGCAAGAAAGATTGTTGTTCTCAAATAATACCTATTCAAGTAATATTAGCGTCATATACATTATTCCACGACATAAAACATTTGTTATTCTATTGTTCGAGTATGGGGTCGAAGATGTGGCGGTCGGTTGCTTATGAAACCGAGCGCTGCCATTACTCCTCGCTGCATGTATCAGCCCAATTTTGAAGTCTCAAGTCATATCCAAGCGTCTTTTAGGGGGCAAAGAGAAAAAGAAAAGAAACAGTCCCCTGACGATCATTGGGGTCAGTATTAAACAGTTCATCATTGGAATTGGTAGATCCTGATTTCGCTACAGGTTATACGCCATGAGAGATGACAGAGTCGTCAGAAAGCAAGACATCTGAGAATGAAACAATTGCAAACGAGCGAACTGTCAAACTGTCAAGGAAAATATGTAACACATGGGCGCGACGTATATGCGGGTCAAATTAGACAAGATCGTCAGTGGCTTTGGATCTTGAGCAGGTTTCAGGAACAGAGACAGGAGACATTGTATCAAGCGAATGAAGATGACGTCTGCATGTCGAGTTGTTTAAACACAATGTACTCGTTGCATTGATGCACCTCGGAAGATTCGATTTGCCTTGAATTGGCATGGAGCAGCCGATATGTCATTCATTCAAAATCTTGGCAGAAAAGGGCCGCGTTGTAAGCCACATATTCCATACTTGGTCATGCAAAGCACTCACCGACTTGTGCATCAGCTGCTCGCATTCATAATGTTTCAGACTCACACAGACACACCCGTTTACATGAAACGGCTTGTCTAAAGAGTAGACGCAGCCGAGACCCTCGGATGGTCCCGTTCATGGCAGTTCCACAACATGGAGCTCCTATCTAGCTCCAAAATCTAGGAATACGAGTCTCCAACAGCCATCTAGGTAGGAGGCTCCAGGAATAAACTGGACTTCGATCAACTTTATGGCGGTTACTATTAATATCCAGATAAAGTGCACGCGCAAGCTTGCTGGCTTAGCAGTGTGATTGTCCAAGCGAGACGAGATTCCTGATCTACTCCCAGACGCCAACGTGGGCCCTTGTGGGTTCGTTCCGTGATGTGCTTTGTGCTAAGCTTTGCATCCTCGGTCCGTCCAGGGCCCATGAAGGAGCTTGGGCCGGGATCAGCGATGGGCCGTTTTCCCTGTTTCTTGCTTTTGGGCTCGTCTGAGCTGAGAGCTATCGGTTAGGCAGCAATTCGGGATATCAAAGTGCGAGCAATAGTCTCAACGGCCGTCGCACGCTGACTCGTTGATAACCCAGAGTCAGGGTTCGGTGTGAGCGATGCAGAGTTTTTGCATGACTTTGCTCCTGATATCTGGGCACTAACGGCCGCAGATAAGCTTCAGGGTATCTTCCGATAGGCTGATTCTCGTCTCAAGATGACAGATTGAACAGTTCGAGAAGAAATTCTGGGACGCCCTGAAAGAACTATCTGGCCTATGCTGGCCTCCCATGTGGCGGCAGTTGTTGGGGGCCCCTGGCAGATTCTTATCGAAGCGAGCCAAAGTAAGATTAGCTGAATCGCGGCAGAAATCTTTCAAGCCAGGGCGTTTGTTAGTTTGTTAGTGTACCTGACAGGGCTGGGATGGTTGAAAGACAAAGGGAAAAAAAAAGTGGTGCGGATTGCGCAAACAAAGGTCATGCTCGCCACCACAAAAACTGATGGCGTTTGCCGTTCCTGATATAAGCCGGACATGTACACGGAAGCTGCTACTCCTTCTAGAATTGCACAGATATGACGTGTAATTGGGCGTGATACGATATTTGTGAGTTTGATAAGCCAAAGTATGTGGTGATGTGATGTACGAGTATACCGTACAGTACAGGTGAAAGATTTTCCATCTCATGGTTCCCGGAGTTTTGATGGAGAAATTACTTCGCCTCTCGCCTGATGCAGCTGCACGTGCGATAAGCCCACCTCCGGCTGCTCCAAACAGGCAACCCGAAGACGTCCATCCCTGGTCGTCCATGTAAATGTACAGAATCGCCAACAACTTTGCCCATCAGAACCGCTTTTCTGGTCCACCTGCAAGACTTCTCTCCATCACGCTCTCGCTAGCCCGCGGTGGATTTCGTATTATTGCTCTTTATGCGCCCCGATGGCCGGCGGCGGCGCTCAAACTACCGAACAGACTAACTCGGCGGCTTGCAGCCAAGAAAGATTCCATGCTGGCAACGGACCGAGAGACTCAGGCATCAGGATAAGCTGATGGAGTGGCAACGACGCAGCGATCAGACGAAGAAGCTCCGATGATCACGGAAGGCGAGCCGATCATGGCCAGCCCAGCAAACTCTACGGGCAACTATGGCGAGCATCGATAAAGCCATGGCACGGCGGGATGGAGCAAGGCGGGAAAGAAAACCGGGGATTGGCAAGACGGCGTCCGCCCCAAGTTACTCGAACTTTGCAAGCCTATTCTTCACCTTTGGCATGCGGACGTTGGCCAGGTTGGATTCCTCGCCGGTATCCCCCCCACCCTCCGTCTCGCCATCGTGGCTGTAATTGCAAATCTAACTGGGTCCGGGACCCAGACAAGCTTTGCTCGCTGACATGGGACCGACCCAACCGCTATCAAGGATGGATCACCACGCACAAGGGGGGAGGGAGCGGGCATTCCAGAGCTGCCAGAGATCCGACCCTCCTCGACCGGCCATTACTCATCTTTAAGCTTTCTCTCTCTTATTTACATGTCACGCAGCCGTGGTAGCCGTCTCCTTCAAGACTATGCAACCTCCTCTCCCTTTCTCTGGCTCGAAGCCTTTCCCTAAACCCTGAGACAGGTCTCAGAGCCGGCCACACTGGCAGTCGGCACTCCACAACAATGTCAACAGACCCCAAGGATTACGCTGAAGTTGTCGATATCCCTACACCAGGCCGTAAAGGCAAGAAGCGCGTCGTCTGGAGCGAAGATGAATCCAGACGGGAGTCGCAGAGGTCATCAGCGAACCTCTCGGCTGGCCCAGTCGGCCTGCCGATTGCCTCTCCCGGCAGCGGTGACTGGCTCCTGAGTGCTGGCTCGCCTGGTTATATCGACCATTCACCCCAGGCATCTCCCAGTCTGCAATTCACTCCCCCCGGCGCCCCGGATGCTCAGGAATTGAGACTCGCCTTAAACAAGGTGCTGCTGACAGGAGAGGACGAGCGTCACTTTCACGAACAGCAGACGTCACCTGTCCTGACACCCATCAAATCTGGAGAACCTTCCCCGGTCCCAAGAATGCCGAGGCCAGTTTTGAGACGGAATACGAGCTACAATGTGCCCCAGGAACAAGAGGAGGCAGACAAGGCGGAGAAGCATGCCACCGAGCGGCAGCTTCGATCCATGACTGACGCACGCCAACGAGCGGATCGATTGGCTGTGTCCGTGGGCGCCTTGTACTCACAATCTGCCCCGGGATCAAGACGAAACTCCATCGACCTTGAACGAGCATTCCAACCCGTCCTCGACGTCTCAGACGATCATGATCCAGACCTAGATGACGCCGCTATCACCACGACCAGCAACAGCAGTACTGCTACTCTCAGGGAGCCCTACTATCCCGACACACACTCCACCACTCATCGCACCCCCCATAGTTCTCGTTTGTACCAGCCACATGAAGAACATGACAGAGCGGAGATGCTGGTCAACTCTCATGCTAAAAACCACCTGTTCCACCCACAATTCTCGTCAGTGTCTGGAAGGTCAACCCCAGTCATAATGCAGGCCTACGCCCAAGACTACGTTCCCAGGCCCTCTTCCTATCGTGGAGGCATCCTCTCTTCCTTGCTCAAGCTTTACCGCGATGACAACGGCGCCGACCACGGTCCAGGTAGCAGCGGGTTCACTACTCCTACCACATTGCCCTCCACTCCCATCATGTCTCCGCATCCCTCACCTCCGAACTCTAGACGCCCCTCAACCGTCAGCACTATCCGATCGCGATCATCCAGCCGGCTAAGAGGCTATCACAGATCTCGGGGCTCGACTTCCTCGGTTGCTTTGAGTGAGCTCCTGAAATCTTCATCCATGTTTGCCGCCCCTGGCTCCAGCGAAATATCTGATCGTCTCGCAGAGAAGATCAAGAAGGAAAAGTTTGGAAAGCCAAAGAAGGAGCAGATCAGAATCACGGTTCACATTGCGGGCATCATCGCACGCCACAGATACTTGTTGAAGCTATGCCGTGCCCTCATGATGTATGGCGCTCCGACGCACCGCCTCGAAGAGTATATGAACATGTCCTCGCGTGTTCTCGAGATCGAAGGCCAATTCTTATACATACCATCATGCATGATTATCAGTTTCGACGACAGCTCAACACACACAGCAGAAGTCAAGGTAGTACGAGTGCCTCAAGGAGTTGACCTCGGCCGCCTACGAGATGTCCACAACATCTACAAGGATGTCGTCCACGACAAGCTTGGTGTCGAGGAAGCCACCCGCCGCCTAGATGAAGTCATAGATCGGAAACCCAAGTTCAATACTTGGTTCAGGGTTTTCATGTATGGCCTTGCCTCGGTTTGCGTCGCCCCGTTTGCTTTCCAAGGCCGCTTTATCGATCTGCCTATTGCCTTTTTGCTAGGCTGCCTAGTTGGGCTTCTTCAGCTCGTCTTTGCCCCTAGCAACGAGCTCTACGCTCACGTCTTTGAAGTTTCTGCTGCTGTCATTACGACCTTTATCGCTCGCGGATTCGGGTCAATCCAAGGCGGGAAGCTGTTTTGCTTCAGCGCTTTGGCCCAGAGTAGCATTGCCCTGATCCTGCCCGGGTACATGGTGCTCTGTGGATCTCTGGAGCTGCAAAGCCATAACATTGTCGCTGGCAGCGTTCGCATGGTGCACGCCGTCATCTACACTCTCTTCCTAGGTTACGGTATCACCATTGGAGCTTCCTTGTATGGCATGCTCGACAGTAATGCCGCCAGTGCGACGACCTGCGACAATCCTCTCAGCCTCAACCGCGGATGGGCTTTTCTCTTCGTTCCGGGCTTCACGCTGTGCCTGTGCATCATCAACCAGGCCCAGTGGAAGCAAACACCCGTCATGACTATCATGTCTCTCGCCGGCTTCTGCGTCAACAGCTACTCAAGCCAATACTTTGAGAGCAACAGCCAAATCTCCAACATGCTCGGCGCGCTAACCATTGGTATCCTGGCCAATCTCTACTCGCGACTCGGACGACACGTGCAAAACGCCTGGCTAGATCTTGTAGAGTGGTGGCGGGCGCGAGTCCAGCCTCGGTTTTCCAAGAAGAAGCAAGAGATGCCTCCAACACCCGACGAAGAATCCACCATGGGAACACCTCCAGATCAGCCACAGCGACTGCCCAGGAAAGTCGGCTATAGTCTCGCTGCTGCAGCCATGCTCCCGGCCATCTTTGTCCAGGTGCCTTCTGGTCTAGCCGCGAGCGGTTCCTTGTTGGCTGGCATCAACTCGGCAAATCTGCTAAACAAAAACGCATCCTCCTCCAGCAACTCTCAGATCGACGGCACCGCCTTTACTGTGCTATTGAGCGTCATCCAAGTCGCAATTGGCATCAGCGTGGGCCTCTTCATGAGTGCCTTGATCGTGTACCCGCTAGGCAAGAGGAGAAGCGGGCTATTCAGCTTCTAATCCATAATAACGATGATAAGCCCTTCGCGTTGGCGTCTTCTTTATCCTGTTTTTCTTCTTCTTCTTTTCTCTTCTTTTCAGCGTTTGCGAGCAAACACTCCCAGAGCTGGAGCCGGGAGCAGCATTTCATCATGTCAATTTACTTTTACTTTCTTCTATTATTGTTTTGGAGCACAGCAGAGCTGAGGATTATTATGCCATTATCCATATACTACAAGATCTGCTATAAAGAGATGGGCAACGGAATACTACAAGCCGCAGGATACGATCTAATACGCACTGTTATCGGCACCAATACAACAAGACAAGCGACTCCATTTGTTTGACATTCCATTTTCAGTACTTTTAGCGTTTTGGCTTTTCTTTTTTTCAGCGGTGGGAGTTGAAAGGGCATTTTGTTTTCTTTGGATCTTAGATGTCTCACACATTAAACACAACATACATCACATACAGCGTCCTTTTTTATTTTCCTTTGGAGCGATTACATGAAGGCGATAGATGGAGAGGCTAGATATACGCGGCTTAGATACCTTTTTTGTTAAAAATCTTGAATCAAGAGAATCCACAAGCTTATAATCTCAGAATGTTTCACGTACGCTGGAGAATCTTTTGCACACATATGAGACTGTGTCGTGATGAAACGCAAGCCACTATCCTCCAATTATTATATCATCATCTCGTATTAAGTATCTTTCGCATCACAAAGTACTTCTTTATACGCCCCCGTTTCTTTCCTGTCACTTCAGCTAATTAGCCCACACCCGCTTCGTATCGTACATGGTCTCAAGGGAGATTATGGAATGAGCCAAGTGAGATGTATCACAGCCACGTGCGTTTGGTGATCAGCTGGTTATGAGGCAGTGGTAACGAGAGGCCAGAAGATGATATGTGGCTTGGGAAGAGAATGTATGAGGTTTGAGTTGAATATGCGGGGGAGAGACATGTTGGTGTGTTGAGGAAAGGGGCGTGAACGTTTGAGCGAAGGAGTTCAAACTCGGTTTTGAGGACCTAAATAAAAGGACAGGATGGGAATCAGAGTTTGGGTCTACCTATATATGTGAGCATAAATATGGGTGATAAGAGGTAGCCTCACGAAGAAAGACCAAGAGGTAGCAGTCCAGAAGACAGTAAGGCGTGATTACCTATACATAATACGATTGCTCAGACATTTTGAAGCACTATATCTGAAACCGTGAAAGCAAGTGATTGGCATGTGTCATCCTGATATCATGTGCAGAATTGGTCACCAAAGTCCCAGTTGTTCATGTCTTATGCATTGAGCAAGGGTACTGCATCTCACGATCTGGTCCAGCTACACATTACGTTATATCAACACTCGCTGGAATTTCGCTTAAGTATTTTTTGATCCAGTGACGTCTCGGTATGCTCCATGGAAACCGAGGTATTTCTGTGAGGCTGCTTGATATTATTTAGTTGCTCGGTATTAGGTTGGTCTATGAGGTTATGATGAACGCAATGCTAAGTGAAGAATGTCACGATGTCGTAAGATTACTCACTCTGCTTCATAAAGTAGGTAATGTGCATACTGGAAGCTACCACAAGAACAAGACAACAACACAACGACTACTCTGCCAAAATCCGAATACACTGCGCAATAAAAGACTTAGTCAAGCGCTTGATTCCTTACTACTGCCCACCTCGTTTACCATTTCTCTTTCATTGAGGCTACACATCATCTACACGCTTACCCTGAATTAGTTCGCCTCGAAATGGACCAATTAGTAGTTGCTCCATCACACACCAAACTCTGTGCAGAACCCAACCGCATCGAGAGAAATTCCCCATGCTAACTCAGAAATAATCTTCACCATCGCATAGCACAGAGAAATATTCAATACCAACCAAAACCATACTTTCACAGCCTCAATTCATGATCTAAACCTAATGTGCGCAAATATGTATTAGTGTTTATAAGGCACTTCCGGGAAGATTATCCCCGTCAAAAGTCATCGGCCAAATGGTCTAGTGGTATGATTCTTGCTTTGGGTTACCGACTCAACTGCAAGAGGTCCCGTGTTCAATCCACGGTTTGGCCCCAAACCTCTCTTTTTGATTTTTCTCTTCTCTATCCTTCACCATCTTATTCAAACAATTCTACTTACATGATGAATCGCTATGTTTTTTTTGACAGACTCGTCGATCAGCGAGGATTGTGAAGTGGAGAGTTGGTTGTTCATGGCGATGATGGTTGGTGGCCTCGATCTAGTCACAGCACTTACACTTACACGTCTCTTAACGAGACTGCACAAAACGCAACTTTCATCCATAACATCAGGTGTCAATTGCTTCATCATATTACAACATCTACTTAGTCCATTACTTTAAGCATATCGTACGCCTTGTGCGAAATCGCCTTCTTAACCGTCGCCAAAGGATTCATCTTCTTCTTCTTCGGCTTCTCAGTCGCCGTAATCCCCACCATATCCTCATCTTCATCCTTATCCTTCACATCTACTTCTCCCTCCTCCTCCTCCTCCTCCTCGACCTCAAACATTCCATTATCCATAAACACCTTCAACATGCCCTGCGAATATCCGCTCACCAACGCCGTGCCCGCCTCCCCCGCAAGCACCGGCTTCGGCGCAGTCCCACCCGCTCTCCCACCCGCGAGATTCCAAAACACGAGCTCCGGCAGCTCGTAACCGTGCTCCTCGTATTTCGCCTTGATCCTATCATAGGACGACGCCCATGCCTCCGGTTTTTGAGGTCCGTTCGAAACGTAATAGCCGTAGTTGCTCTCTGCCTGGTCGAACTGCATGTCACTGAATACAAAGACGCGCTTCACCATGTCCTTCTGCTTCAGGTTGTTTTTGATGGCCAGGGGCAGAATCAACTGTTCGAAAACAGCCACGAAATCCGTGTTCCCACCCCACTCCGCAGCCATAATCTGCTGAACCTTCTCGGGAAACGTCCAGTTCACATTGATAGACTTCATTGACGGCTGCGAGTGGAACGTGATGAACTTGCCGCCAAACGGCTCTTCAGTCACCTCCGCAACCAAAAGAGACAGTCCAACCGCAGAGTGCATGGGCGTGGTGCCGTCCTTGAAGACAGGGCTGCCCATGCTTCCAGAAACATCGCACACCGCAATGCACGAAGACAGAGTGCCCGAGTCCTTTATCCGCTGAACAAGCGTCTTCCACTGGCCGTCGGCAACCTTGGCCTCCATTTCCTTTATGGTGCGATTTAATAGCTCCTGTTGGCTCAGATTCTTCGGAGTGTATGTGGGAGCCTTCGCTGCAGTGCAAACTAGTGTAGAGGGCAATAAGACGGCGCCCGAGATATTGGCCTTTCCCTCGGAAACCTTGCCAACGTACTCTTGGAAGCGATCCATGTCCTTGTCAATGAAGAGACGAGTGTAGTTCTTCATGGCAATAGACGGCACGCGGTCGTACTTGATATTGTCAAAGGTACAGGCGCTAATATCCCGCTCCACGACCTCGAGGTGCTTTCTCAGGGCGGACACGTCCTTGCGATACTGCTCTCGTGCGTAACGCAGATATACCTCCCGACTATCCGCTGCAGAGACCACACTGGCGAGCGACTCTTGGGGATACAGGATCTCGGCGATGGAGCTGATGATGCAGGTGTGTCTGTCGTGGAAATTGCCATGTGAAGGAGCCCATTTTGCACAGAGCGAGATGCCCCTTTTGGCTCTGGGATCAGAGTCCCGGAGAGCAGCCAAGTCAGAGTGAAGCTGCTCAGCAAAGAGTCGCGCAACAGTGACATGTAAAGTTCGGTAAACGGCATTGGTGTTGAACCTGTCCATGGAGGCCGCATGCCGATCATCTCGATCCCGATGCCTGGCCAACTTGAGGTTTCCTATCCGTACCGTCTCTTCCTCCAGGGCATGTGTCGGCTGTGTGGCTTTCAGCTCTCGCTTCACAGCCCTTAATCGAGCCGCCTCAGCTCTTGCCTGAGACTCCTCAAAGGCCGCGACTTGCTGAGCGAATTCGGGGTTTCCAATGCGGACTGTCTGATCTTCCAAGATGTGTCTGTTGGGCTTCGCTCGCATCTCCTTGGCCTTTGCCCTCTGCTTAGCAGCCTCAATGGCGGCTGCGCGTTTTGCTGAATTGGCTGATCGAGCGGTCCTTCTTCTCGGCGGCGAAGAGCTCACACCATCCTTCTTCCTTTTCCGTCTCGCCAGCACAGAGTTCTTGATCTCCTCGTCTTCCACATTCAAGACATCCCTGGGGTTCTCAAGCACATCCAGCTTCTTCTCCATCGCCAAAACAAGGATATTCAACACGTCTTTCCAGTAACCATGCGAGACTCCGTGCCGAACATCATACTGATCTACCGCGTTCTCATCTCCCTCACGCTTTTCCACCTTGATAAATCCTTCATCATTCTCACCCTCCTTTTGGACCTTCTTCTCGATGATGGGCCGGCTAAGCCATCTCAAGTTACCAGCCAGCGTGAGCGGGTGGTTTTGCGCCAGCCATCCTGCGGCACGGTAGAAGACGTTTTTCGAGCTCTTGCCCAGGTGTATTGAGCGCGCATTGAAGATGACTTTCAGAGTAATGAGTGGGTGTACAGCCCAGGCAGCGTCGAGCAGCTCCTTCAGCCGAGGACCAGAAACGGCTTCTTCCATTTCGAAGAAGAGGTCGACCAGTGCATTTTGAGTAGATATAAAGGCGACGTCCGAGTTCTCCGTCAACATGCGGTTGAGAAACTCTTCGTCCTCCCTTTTCCGATCGGTTTGGGCTGATTCCTTCTCTTTGTCAGCCAGAGTGATGCCGTCCATCGAGTCTTCCATTTTCAGGGACTCCATTGACATCACCCCATATTCACCCCGCAGTTCATCGAAGAGATAACTGTCAAAGACGGCAGGCGATTTAAACAAGGCATCGTGGGTAGGGAAAAGGACGGGGTATGATGTCTTTAGGAACCAGGGCACCTCTTGGGCCTGAGCCTGAGCCGGATCTTCAGCTGCAGCCATGATGAGGACAGCTGCAACGTCTGGAGGATGAAGATGGAATCAAGAATTGAAACCGGAGAGCACATGCTTATGGGGTTTATATGTGTGTATAAGTGTTGTCGGGTGAGCATTTCCTGCCAAGCTGTTAGTCATGCGGCGCAAATCCTACGGAGCTTAAAGAGGCTCGCCGGGGTGACTCAGACGGCATACAGGCAGAAGCCACATGAAGCCGCATTGGTCAAAAGAAAACGGGCGCGGTTGGACAGATGAAGCATCGCGATTGGACCGTTGGCTAAAGATGGAAATGATGGAGAATCAAGCGGCTCGGCAAAGCAATTCTGCTCGGATCTGGTGTCTCACATGTGAGGCTGATTGCTGGGCTTAAGCAGCATAGCCCCAGATTCTAGACTTAGCGTGTTTGACTTGACTTGGCCGAATCTCAACTCAAGATCGATCTTAGCGGCAAAAAACAAACAAGTGATCGACAACGGCGATGGACTACAAGTAGTAAGCACAAGGTAGCTGCAAAAGAGGCAACAGGACAAGTGACAAAAAGTTGATGAGCTATATTTTGCGTTTGGTAAAAGAGAAAGAAATAGCTATATACATGTGGTATCTCGTAGATCAGCAACGTGGAAATCATTAATTAGTATGAACTGGTAGGTAAAACGCCATGCTTCGTCAAAGATGCATCCGCTGGCTAACAGAAAAAATGCATGAGTATGTCGTCAAGTGGTATCGCAGCTTGTCCTTCCGCCGTGTGACTCCGATGGCGATGATGATGATGGTGTAGTTGTAGGAAGAATATGCGTATGCTGCGTGTGGCATATTTGCTTAGAGACGTTTGGATATCATTTCCAAATACTGCTGCTCTTCCTGGGTGAGATAGACGTGTTCAGGAACAATGACCTGTCCCGGCTTGATGATGATATCGGCGGCATAAATGGTGTCTTCCTTTTCCAACTCGGTCTCGGCAGCGGCATTCGCCTCGACATCGGAAACGTATCTCGCATCGCCTTCTCCGCTGCTAGCGTCCTCGGGCTTGGATTCAGTTTCCTTGGCCTTCTTCTTGGATGATCGGCGGCGAAACATGGAGTTGGGCTGCCTCAGATCTTCAGGAGACCACCAGTAGACGGGAAATTGGCGCTCGATGTTGTTAATAAGGAGGGCTGCACCAAGCATCAAAGTGCTTCCCAGCAACATGACGGGGATCAGAAACCAGCCGACTTGGATAAGAGTGGGATCAACAACAGCCAATAACGCGGTTGCACCGGCCGGAGGATGCACGGTCTTGGTCAGTGCCATCATCGCAGTAGCAGAAGCGCAAGCCAGAGCACCGCCGAGCCATTTGATGTCTTCAAAGTTGTCACTGAGAAGGAAGAGCTTTCCCACGGCACAACCAATGATGGCGGAGATGACTTGGCCGCCGATGGCGTTTCGCGGCTGCGCAAGAGGCGATTCAATGGCGTAGAACTCAAGGACGGCAGCAGCACCCTGAACGTAGCATCACCAGTTAGTTGCAACAATGACAAAATGTGCGTATATGCGTATACTTATACACGTATTCGTACCTGATATTTCTAGGATCGACTTACAAAACTGCCCACGATGAGAGGTACGTGGTGGGGTGGGAACGAGGCGACATGCTTTCCAACGGCTTCAATCATGGCAATAGCACCAAAGACGCCGATAAAGGCCCAAAAGATGGGCATCAAGTTGCCTGTTCCCTGAGGCTTCGTCTTGCGATAGCCAAACCAGTAGGCGATGGGGTAAGGGATGTGGTTCCATGGCGGAGGAGGGATCAAGGGATTGAGGAACCGGTCGATGTTGAAACTCCAGGAATGGTGGATGCGCGCCATAGTGTCGGCTTGTCGCTGCTGAGGCTGGTATAACACGCGATAATGCTGATTATGTCGGACAGGAGGGAGTTTTCGTCGTCGTGATGTTGTCGATGGAGTTATGAGTGAGTATTGGCCAGGAGAGGATGATGCTGAAGTTAAGGCAAGGTTGTTTGTTTGTTTGTTCACAAGTCGTGACAAGGTGAGCTGAGACTGAATGATCGTCAAGACTCGCAAGACCACGAGGGAACGGGCCGCCTAATATACAACCGCTTCAGAAGAAAGAGCGAAAAGAAAAAATTGAAGAAGAAAAAGACGAAAATGCCGAAAAGATGACGAAAAAAGAGCCCAAGGGATGTTTGTGTGCCGCGGAGATTTGTCGAGCTGCATCCAAGATGAGGAGAATGCAGACGGCCGGACTAACAGACGTCAAGTACACCGCGCGTACCTCGGGATTGACGAGACTCGGCGATGCGCAGGAACAGAAGCTGGGCGCAAGGTATCGGACACGGCGTGAGTACGAGGAGAAACAAGAAGCAGGAAATGCTGGCTCGCATCTGTGCGGACATGGTTTGGTTCCAGCAGCGGCCAGTCAGAGGGAAAGCTTGTACGTAACAGAAGCAGCTTTGAGGAAACCGCAGCCCTGCCGACCCCTGCGGCAGCTGGTCGCCCCACAGCTTTCCCTTTTTTGCGGGAGTCGGGGGTTGGGTGTTAGGGTGATGATAAGTGGGGCTTGTATGATGTATTTTGAGGTACCTTTTGGCAAATTGGAATTGGAATCCGTGCCATCAGGGTTGACGATGTTATATTAATGCCTTCAAATTGGGAAAGTTAGGTGTGTGTTAATTGCTATACACCTGCTAGGTACTTGCTTAACATGACGTATTGCGGCAAGATCCAACACACAACAAGCCATATTTACTCATCTCATTCAGCCCTTGATTCAAACATCGCATTATCACAGACATTAGGTACCTTAGTAGTCCAACTAATTGCACTGCAAATGCCAGAGTACCACATGCCTGAATCATTCATTTAATTCACTTTACGGCCACCTGACCGTGCATAGTAATCGACATAACCATTACCCCAACCCGTAGCTGTATATAGCCTTAATCTAGGTACCTGCCTTTCCCCCGGAAATGTTTGCGTTGCGGTACTTGCCAGTACAAGCGCTCGGCTTTGGCTCGGCATGAGCACGCCGGAATACAGCCGGCGCAGCGCCAAAGCAGCAAATCGGGCAGGGCGAAATCGCCCAGAATCTGCTTCGGCACGCATCGCGGGAAAGGAAGTTTGGAATCCATTCTTTTTGTTCTAGCACTGCATATGATGTCTTCTAGGGGGGATTTTATTCTCCGCTCTAGCTGCATTGGGGCCCGTCCATCCCGGATCCTTTTGCTGTCTTGGCATCTCTTCTCTGTTTTCTTCTTCTTCTTTTGACCTGCACATTGAACTATGACGTTGTTCTCGAACCCGCGCCAGTCCCACTTGGCCGACATAAAATCGACGCCCGGCCGATTCGCTTCAGTCACCGGCAGCCTTGCAGCAGTTTTCCTTTAGCTTCCTTTCTTTGCTTACGTAGCATTCGCAGAAACCTTCTCAAAAGGGAAATGCCTGGCTGCTAAAATACAAGCCGTCAACCCGTTGCCGACAACCGATCAAACAATGTTTCAAGCTGTTTTCTGCAGTGAATCATCCCCCTAGAGAGGCAATTTTCGACGTGGAATGAACATCTTTTTAGGCTTGGCATGATGGTTTCGGTGCTCGACTCGGCAGACGAAGATGCGGCATGAGCTGACTTTGCTCTCACCTTGTGCACGTACGACGAAGTATTCAGGCTATGAGAACGAAACATGATATCCATCCCATGCTTCGGAGCTGACCTACGCAGTCGACGACATTTTGCCAAAAGTCTGTGTAATGGCTTAAATACTAAATACACTATACCTACTAATACTCCATGATATATTTTCACATCTCTCTCGGTGACTTGCATCAAACCCTCCTACGGTCCTGTATTACGCCGAGCTCAGATGTCTCTACAGTTGGAACTCAAACCACCAGTTCGTCCCAAGTACCTGGATGGAACTGCCGCCAATGCAGCTCGCTCTCTTGCGAGTTCCGCCAGCTGCACCTCTTGGAGATATTTGTCTGTGATTCACTGTCACTGCAATCACATGTTTTCCCTCAGGCACCTAGATGGCTATCAAGATGAAGCAAACGTCCAGTGAGCGCATTCTGCCGGTGTTGACGATGGCAGCTCGTGCACTATAGTAGTTCCCAACACAGTAAATCGCAGCTCACCGCCCAAGGCCTCTACACTCCTCCACCTTCAACTGCAGCTTCTTCTTTCATCCTGCAGCTTTGTTCACTGCCTCCATCTTCTCTCATCGTTCCTCAAAGCCACAACTTCGGAGTGTGTGACCCTGCTCTTCTGTTCATTGCAATGGCTGCACAAACCACAGACAGGCTGATTGATCTCACGCCTCCTCCATCCGTCACGGCCTCCCCCGCGGTCCTCAACCCAATCTCTGTCCATCATGGAGATCACAGTGATGGTGCCCCATCTGCTGCGCCGGAGGATCAGCATATAATTGGCCTGTCGAATGTTTCCCCTTCTCGGGGATTCATCACTGCTCCAGAACAGAGCTTAGAGATCGAAGCAAACAACTACAACAGGAGCAATCAGGACAAGAGACATGGGAATGCGCATCAACGAAGCTACAAGAAGCGTGCCGAGTGTCTTGAAATCTTTCAAGGAATCCAGAATGCTTTATGGGGACAATTCCATCAGATACAGAGTATTGTTTTTGACAGTGTAAGTCGACAACTGTCACGTCTCACTTACACAAGCTAGTAGAAGCATGTGCATATGGGCTAACATGATTCCTCTTGATAGAAAGAAGTTGAGCAGGTGCTTCAAGAATTGGCAGAGGAGGAATTGGACATCGATTTGGTTCGCGCCCTACGAACGCTGGGTAATTCTCTCACCGGAGTTCGACACATTCTCAAGGGAAATATCATCATGATGGAGGAGGCAAAGGCCAATCCAAGTCCTTCCAGTTCGGTATGTGCAAGAGGGACATGTACAACAGTCAACTGTCCTTGCGTTAAGATTGGTAGAGTACTAAATGAATTGCGTGATAGGAGTCCGGTAGTTCAACTCCGCCATCCGACGAACGAGACGTGCCAAACAGCAGAGCAGAATCACCAGACACAGAGATTGATCTTTTGCTAGACGACGGCCAACTCGATGCGCAGTTTGATGATGTGTCTGATTTTATTGATGTTGATCAATTAAGCGAGAACTGGGAGGCGGAAATGCCAGAAGAAGACGTCTTGTTTGTCGATACCCCAGGAGGAAACGCACCCTTTCACTTGGATTTGGAGTATCAGTCCGATGTGGCAGAGGTCTATGTGACCACTCCAACCACAGGGCTGCAAAGCCGTCGTGTCATGCTCACAAACTTGCCCCCTGACGCAACCATGTCCCAGATCACACGAGGCATTCAATGCCATGGTGGACTCCTTGGCATCATGATGCTCAAAACTGCCCCGATTCTGGGCAATGATACCAAGACTGCCATGCTTGAGTTTGTATATCATCAGGCGGCCGCCGAATTTTCACATGACGCCAGCATCTCTCCTCTCTTATACAAGGCCAAAAACGGTGACGTCTATAGCGCCAACGCGTGGCTGATCTCATCTTCCTCCTATGGCTTCGGCAGAATTGACAAGGGCCTCCTTGATAATGGATGTGCTCGTCGCTTCCTTCTCAAAGGGTTTCCGAAGGAGTGTATATGGTACTTCATCAGCACCATCGGCATAAACAATATCGTGTCTGCTGACTACGACGAGGCCAACGACGGATTGACTGTTGAATTTGCAACTCTCTTTCAAGCAAACAAGGCTGATTGGCTCATCTTCTCGGGAAGGTTTTCTGACTTTTATACGATTAACCCCGAAGATGGAAAATTTCGCAGATTCCTGCGTGACTCGACGCACGAAAGCGAGGTGTTATCCAGAATCCGTCCTCGACAGCGCGAAAGCCCAATCTCACGCCGCTCAGGAGACGATTTGGAAGCGCAATGGAATCGTTATCCGTACAATGACTATTTGCCTCCTCACCTTCGGAGGGCGGCCGCCGAAATGGGACCAACGCGGATCCCTCTGAAGACACGCTTGGCATTACAGTACGATATCGACGAAAGCGAAGTCGACGACTACCTTTACGACCTCGAGAACCACAAGGACACCGAGTACCGCATCCTGGGCAGCTCCATGACCCTGACCCGCCGCAAATATGGCTGGAGCATGTCAGCCGAGGACGAGGCCAAGCTTCTCCTGGAAAACACGCTCCACGAGCCCGACTGGGCAGAATACTGGGATGAACACTTCAAGGCGTGCGGCGAGATCAACCGTCGCAAGTGGGAGCACTACGGCATGGTGGCCAAGCACCGCCGCGAGATGGCCGAAGAGCAAGGACTCAGGGAGCACACGGTACCCAAGTGCCCCAAGGGCTGTGAGATGGGATGCCGTGATATCAAGGCAGTGCCTGCGGCGGCTGTCGTGAAAAAGTTTCTTGAGCGCTCTAAGTGAGCGCTTGATTAGATGGAACAGGGAGAGTGATTGGACGAAGTTTGGGAGGAAACGAGGACATTTGCTTACAAGGGAATTAACATTGATTCGAGCTGGCCATGGTTATTATTCAAGGGATTTGGAAGGGAAAATAGTATTCGAGGATTCACTTTTACTTTCAATCAGGCTTCATTACAGCTCTACGCTCTAGGTTCATCATTAGGAGAGCAGAACACACGGGTGACTGAGGAGCATAGTATGCCGGTTTGTCATTTAACGTTTATAGTTGGCCAACTGCTACAAGTTTGAGGGCGAATCATACAAAGACTCTTCTTCAGAGCACAATACTCACATTAGTCCATCTCCATATGCGTTTCTATGCACATGCAATCGTCTTAATGTAGCTGCATGTCTCCTGCTCGTCTGAGTTGAGAACCAGGGATGTAACAATATTGTAAAGTAACACTCTATGCAATGCGGCAGCTGTGAGCCATCATCGCTTTGACAAATCTTAAAGGGGATCGGACAATCTGCTAGCAACAAGCTAATGGAGATGCTAAGAATCGAAGCTCGACTTCATTTCCGCGTTGACAGTTGCTACTGGCGCCTAACCTGCTGCCAATTGGACAAGATACGGATGTAAATGGACTACTAGATATACACGAGAGAAATATAGGCACTGTCACTTGAGACCCGGCTTGTATCACACAATATATCCATAGTGAAATACACATTACACATCACATCCGCTCAGATTCGTTACCCAATACGACCACTCTCAAATATAAATCTTCCCAGAACCCCCCATATCTCATCACACCATCCACCTCATCATCATCGACCAAAACAAACCTCGCAATCTCAAATTCCACAGTTCCTTCTCTTTCTCCTCCATCATATACGCATCTATCCTCTTCCCAAGCATATCCATAAACGACCCAACACAAACACCGTCTTCAACACCCCCCCATAGGCGCCTCCATCCGCCCCTCAACCACAAAGTTCAATCCATAACCACCACCAAAAGCCTCTGCAGCTTTTCATCCGTCACCGTCCTCTGCGCAAGTACGGCGAGCTGCATAAGCCACGTATCTGTCAACTTCGACGACGTCAAGGCCCTCGATACCGACGCCTCCGAAGGCCCCTTGGATTTCACCCTCTATCCCGAGCAGGACTTGGAGTCAAGGGGGTAACTGTCGTGCTGGAGGCCAATATCCAGCGTGGTTCCCACAGGTTGGACATGAAGGATTTTTCGATCAAGTTGTTTGAGGGTTACAACTAAACTGGTCGTTACACCATACTGAATCATAAAAAGAAGTCGAAACTCAAAAGATATTCACTACAGTAAGACAATGTTGAGCAGTCCGTCTAGTCTCTCCATGCCTAGTATACGAATCAAGCGATTAACAAAACCATCCGACTTCAGAATGGACATGCAAAACCGCTCGCTCACGTTTCTGATCCCAAGGACACAGCTCTCCAGCGATAGCAACACCAAATGTATATCATATAAGGTACATCAAATTCCTTGCGCCATTTGCCATGCGCCCCCTATAAAGACTCAACTCGCGTTCCAGCTAACCTCATGATATCCGTCGCACCGCTTTCCTTTCCGCGCGAGGAGAAAGAAAGTAGACCAAAAAGATAAAAAGTAAATAAACCGCTAATCTAACCCAAATATGTTGTCAGAAGCCTGTCATGGAAACCCCCGAAATACGCCAAGTGCAGTCGAGACCGTGTTAACAGCAGGCCAGATACTCCGGCTCTGCCGTTCATTCTCGCCCCCTTCTGTGACGACAAAGAATTCGTCCCGCCCGTCTCCGGCGAGCTCGTCTTCCTCGCCGTCATAGGCCTCGTCCATCACCTCGAGACTGTCTGGGTCCCCCGCAAAAGCCTCACTAACGCTGCTATATTTTCTGCGGATTCCGGGCCACGCCAGTGTCGATTGTTTCAATGACCCCTGTTTGTGGGAGCTCTGTTTGGATATGCCGTTCTTGGGGCCAGTTTGTTTGGGTTTGCTCTGCCTCTTGGTGGAATTGCCCGACTCAGCTAATGTTTTCCGTTTGTTTTTGGATATCTTGAAAAAGTTGCGCACAAGGTTCGCCGGGATGTTTTCTTCAGGCTCCCACGTCCTCTTTTGGTCTGGCGGCCAATCGCCCTCCCAACTGACCTTGAAGTATCTCACGATGCCACGGCCATCCACCTCGTAATACTCGACATCTTCAATCCTCTCCACGACCCAGTCGTTTTCCCCTTGAGGCTCGGGCTTTGGTACATCGCCTTCGGGCTTGGGCCTTTTTCTCGATGTCTTTGGTTTGGCTGCTGCTGGATTGCTTTCAACTACTGCCGTGCTCTCTTCACTGGCCATCACCCCTGGGGGATTCGGTATCGTGCTCTGCCCCGCTGGTATAAATGACGATAGTCCCAGCCATTGCTGGATTGGACTGTTCTGTTTGACGTTTGGTTCAGGTGTCTGTGAGCTCTGCGTTTCGAACGACGCGTGTGCTCCGTTAATCAATCCGGGTGGTGTCCCGGGCCGTATCGACGATGTTGGTTTAGGTGGTGCTTGCGGCTGCTTCATTTTCATAGGCACAGTTTCTATTCGCGAATCGTTTCGCATGACTTCCGGTGGCTCGTTAGGCAGGGGGCTTTCCGTGTCTTCAGACATTTCATACTCCATGGGTAAGTAGCCATGTAAGCTCTGAAACTCCTCCTGAGCAATCTGTCGCGATGGGCTTCCTTCTTCGTCTTCCAACCACTCGAATTCCTCCAACCTTGCCTTCTTGGGCGTCGAGAGACTCATGGCGCCCTTCTTATGCCGTGACTTTGCCTGGGCGACGGTCTCCGGCTCAGCGACAACTGCAGCTTCTATCTGGCTGTGCGCTGGCGGCCGTCCCCTCTTCTTCTTGATCTTTTGCGGTGCAGCTAGGTCTGACTTGAGCTCGGCTTCCAATTTCTCCCTTTCGTCGTCCAACTCCTGCTCCAGCCGTGCTTCAAAGTCCTCGAGGGTTCGCGGGGAGACGTAGTCCAGGATCTGCATGGCCGGAACGAGCTTACTCGCAGCCGGAAGGTCGCGCCACCCGATGAGGTACATCATCCGTTTCGGCAAAGGCCGTCCATTAGGCGCAAGTCCAGGCGAGGGAAGCAGGAGGCGTTCGGTGATGTAGGCGGTAGAGTCGCCGGGAAGAAGCAGCGATATCGGTTGCAACGGCGGCCCGCTGCCCGGGACATAGTCGGCTGGCTTCGAGGCGAGAGGAATGATGATTCGCGATTTCGCAGAGGTCCTTTCGAGAGGTTGTTTGCCCTTCGAGTCGGCTGATCGAGGCAATGGCGCCAAGCCCCGGCCAGCGAGGCGGCGATCCCAGAAATCGGGATCGAAGAGCATCATGACAGGATGCCGCGGGGGAGACGGGCTAACGAGCAGCCAACGGGTCTGTTCATCGTCTGCATTTACGGTCGGATCGGCACGGCGTCGACGGGCGCCGCGAGCGGGAGGGAGTCGCGTGATGCTGAGGTGAAATCGGGCGGGAAAGTCAATATCGCAGACGCGACGTCGAAGTTGAGATGACTAGGATGACTAAGCTCGCTTGTTCTTTGTTCTTTGTTTGTCTTTCAACATTCTCTTTCATCTCGACGTCGTGTACCATGAATATGAGCACAATACACTCTCTGTGCTCGTTTCATGTTGTATGTAAATCAATCATAATATCAGATAGAATAGACATTAAGCCGGCATCTTTCTTCCTCAACGTTGGATTAGTATTCAGCCCTTTCTCATTGCTGCATTGGAAGCAATTCAAAGTACCCGCCATCAGCCTCTAAAAGCTCGCTGTAGCTCAGTGCATCCAATCGGGTGGGGAATCCTTGTCACAGCTGCTAAAGCACCACCGAAGCCGCCGCAGAAAAGCAACTGCAACTCTGCATCTCAAACCCTCAAACCCTGCAAAAAAAAAAAAAAAGAAAGAAAAAAAAGTTCCGCGATATCAACCTCCAAGAAGCAGCAATTGTCTTTGCGCTCTCTCCGGCTTCCTCCCCGCAGATTCTCCTCTCAGCCATTGTATCGTCTAATTTGCATCTGCCCGCCATGTCGTCGCCGCTGAAAACGCTGTGCATGCGCATTCCCGCAGCGCCCAGCAGCCTCGTCCGATGCTGTCCCAGAGCCTCATTCTCGCCCTCGCAGCTCTCTGCGCGCGCCCAGCCCGGCGCCTTTGCGCTGACAAAATCCCTTGCGCGCGCAAACCACAGCCTCTCCGTCTCCGGCTCAATCTCAAAACCCAGCGCCGGCGCCCTCTCAAGCCCGCGGCCGTCCATCGTCGGCCTCGTCGCAAGAGGCTCCTCCTCCTCCCCCACCTCATCGTCATCATCGTCGGTCCGGCTCTACTCCAGCAGCTCGCCCGCCTCCGCCGCTACGACCGGCTCCCCCTCCGTCCCGGCCCTCGACTGGGACTCCTTCTTCAAGCTCCGCCTCCGCCGCCGGCGCATCCAGCTCCTCTTCTCCGTCGTCACGGGCCTCGTCGGCGGCGCGGCCGGCACCATCTTTTTAGCCGAGGGCTTTGCCGAGCCGCTGATTGCGCAGATCCCGCTCGACCCCTTCTTCACCTTGGGCATCATGACCATGGCCTGCGCCGGCCTGGGCTGGCTGATTGGGCCGACGCTGGGCAACCAGGTGTTTTACATCATCAACCGGCGCTTCAAGACGCAGATGATGCAGAAGGAGGGCGAGTTCTTTGCGCGTGTCAAGCGGCACCGCGCCGACCCGACAAACTCGAGCGCGGGCAACCCAGGTAGGATTTGATATTGCGCGATTCTCTTGTATGATGTTGAAATCTAACGCTTGTACTTTCAGTCCCCGATTTCTACGGCGAAAAGATCCAGAGCGTGGCCGGATATCGGAGATGGCTCAAGGACCAGCGAGCATTCAACAAGAAGAAGTCGGCCTCGTTTGTCTGAGCCAAGAGACGCACACGACTGGGACAAGGACGACATGGAAGCAATGGAAATGCGTGAGTTAGCAACTGTATTTTGTAAGAAGAAAATCTCTCTCTCTCTTTTTCCTCGTTTCTGTTTTGGTGACAGCATGCTCCTTTGACGCTGCTTGGATGGACTTGAAAGAGGAGAAAAAAATGGACCCCTTTTCCTCATTACATTGGGACTGTGGGCATGTAGTATGTACCTGTATTATGTATAATGAGAAAATTTCGTGTTTGCATCTATTCGTTGTTGGACTCGATCTATCGTCTTCATCGTCTTCGTCATATAAAAGGCAAACTTGGATCGACTGTAGTCTTCCAAGCCTGCAGTCCTCCCAAGATGTCCCCAATGAAACGCTCTCCATTACGATCCGCCCCTGAATCTTTCAGCTTCTTCGCCGCAATCTGCGAATCGTTGCCCACGCGGCATACGATATATATCGGCGCATCAGGGGGCACATCCCCCGGTATCAAATCAGACAGCTCTGACCCTTGGCCACGGTGAGCCGTAAACCGACCGATGGGAATGTTGATGGAGCCAGGAATATTGGACAAGCCAAAATGCTCCTTTTCTCTCACGTCGAGCAAGAGGTGAGTCTTGTTCGCTCGAGAGATCTGCTCGTACTCTGCCACCGAAACGCGCTCCTCTGGCTGAAGCAGCTTAACAGGCTGACTGACGCCGCAAAACTGAATGTAATCCATCGAAGCCTTGAGCTCGTTGAGCGTCAACGCGGAATCATCTCCCGCACAAGCAAAGCACCCCTTCCTCTTGCCCCTCATCCTGACCGTCCGGAACGGCACATCGCCCATGGCACTGAAAAGCAACATCCCCACCTGTCGCACGTCTTCCTCATCTCCAGCGCGAGACGTTAAGTGATCTCCCCTCACAAGCAGTTTAATCGCTTCCAATGCCTGTAACACGCCCATGACGCCCACAACAGGGCCAATAATACCTCCCTCGCCACATCCAACAACGCTCTCCGGGGGGGGAGGCTTCGGGAACACGCAGCGGTAGCAGGGGCCCTTGCCGGGAGGATTGTTGAGCACAATGAGCTGGCCCGAAGTTTGAAACGCAGATGCAGAGACGAGCGGCTTGGAAAGAAGAACGCAAATGTCGGAGATGAGGTAGCGCGAGGTAGGGTGATCTGTGCAGTCGAGAACAAGGTCGTACGGAGAGACGATTTCCTCGGCGTTCTGCGGCGTGAGATGTGTGCCATGGGCATAATACATGATTGTAGGGTTCAATCTATGAAAACCAAGTCAATACTTGTCTTGTTTTTATCTTCATTAGTAGTTAAGGGAAAGTAAGAAAACTCACCCCTTGAGATACGCCACAGCACTGTCAACCTTCATCATCCCAACCCTGCTCGTCGCATGCGCAACTTGCCTATGCAGATTCGACACCTCGACAGCATCGCCATCCACGAGACCCAGCGTCCCGACACCAGCACCAGCGAGATATGCCGCCGCGGGACATCCCAGGCCACCAGCGCCGACGAGCAGGACCTTGGCGTGCTTGATATTCAGCTGGCCTAGTATTTCACCAAGTCAGTCCATGCTTCATTTGCGTCTGTCGTCTTATGACGGGATAAACAAGGTACCTTGCAGGCCGAAATTCGGCACAATCATCTGCCTGCTATATCTCTCATAATCTCGCTCTTCAAGCGGCCACTTCCACTCTCCCTCGACTCCATCCCTGCTATTCTCAACGCCCAGCTTTTCAGCTTCAACAAGCCGTGCGCGCAACCGCACCAGCTCAGCCTCCTTGTCCGCAATCTCTCTCTTCAAAGCTTCTATCGTGTCCATGTCTTCATCAAACAATCCGCTCTCAATTTCTTCCCCAAAAAAATCGTGCAAAAACAAGACGAAAACAGAATCAACAAGAGTATAAAATTCGGCTTACATACAAACAAGTTCCTCCCAAATCTTAGCACATACCAGCAACTTACCCCACCCACACCTCGGTCAGTCCCCCCATCACCGAAATCCATAGCTCCACCAAAAAATCATCCATCACCAACTTTTTTCCCTCTACCCCAAGAATCACTTCACATGTGACACTCCAACAAACCACCCTCACCCTTCAAAATGGTATAACCCCCTCACCCTCACCTTCAATCCCTACAACTAACTTCAATTCCAACAAAACAGGCCCCCCAAAAACCATCCGCCACCGCCCTCCGCCACGCCCGCATCACCTCCTCCATCCACCCCCTCGCCCCCCAAAAGACCTTCCGCCAAAACGCCTCCACAACAGACTCCTTCCTCTCCTCAAAACGCGATAAGCGCACCATCAAGCACTCCTCCTTCGTCTCACGCATCTCCTCCTCCCGCATCTCCAAATCCTCCTCCAAACCCCGCCGCCGCGGCGCCGCAAAGAAATCCGCCACCCTCAGCTCCCTCGACAGCCTCGCCGACGCATTGCCCGAACTCGCCGACGGAGAGGGCGCCGCCGAGATCCTCGACGGCAAGATCAAGCACCAGAGCTTGCGCAGCAAGAAGGGCGCGCTCAAGAGGAAGGAGAGGCTGCTCAAGGGCGAGATGGCGAGGTTTGGGGTGAGCATGGCGCAGTTGTCGCATTTGCCCGCGCAGACGCAGAGTGTGGTTCCAGAGGTCGAGAAGCCTTCGGCGGCTTCTTCTAGCGCTCCAACGCCAGCTACGGCGCCGTCGAATAGATGGGCCGCGCTGAGGGGATACATTTCTGCCACGATGGAGCAGAACCCGGCGTTTGTGAACAAGGAGTAGGGTTGGCATGGGGCTATCGGCATATAAAATGGGAATTCACGCTGCTGATGTTTAAATCATGAGCGAACTACAATGGCATTTCAAGAGACAACGGCAAGATGGGGCAGATGGAGAGTAAAATATCCACGGGTTCAACATTGGTGGTGCTTGAACAATATACGGTTATATAAAATGGTAGGGGCTAGGAGTTTTGGAGCCGGGGTTTTTCATTTAATCATCTATTTAATTGATCAATATTTGCAATTTAAATGCTATGAAAAGAAATGCTATGCCTAAAGACGCTCCGCCCGTCTTTATTGAGTCGAAAACCCCTCAAGTTGCCTCGATATTGGGTCGATGGCTATAAATGCCATGTCCGGTAGCGCCATGTCCCCCCTGTGCTCTGAAGCAGTCATGGTCATATCTCGTAGCGAAAAAATGAAAATAAAAACAAAGTTGGTATCGTCTTGTTCCTCAGCCATCCCTCCATCGGCATAACTTCAGCCGCTGTACAATCATCAAGCTCGTTCAAAGTCTTTGAGTCTTTGAGTTCCTCACACAACCCGCGGTATGTTCTCTGCCTCCACATTATCATACCCTATCCAACGCCAAACATGCAACAATCAATGATCGAAAAAAAAAACTCAATGACAAGCTCGCTATCGAAAGCGACGTATTGAGCTCAACGAGAAGAAACTCGACAAAACAAGATGCAAGAAAAGAAAAGACGAGGTTGAACAGAATGTCTCGGTGAGCTATCGCTCTTTGGCACGATTTTGTGCAAGAATCAGCCGAAAATCTATCTCAAGGCTGCTTTGAGGCCACGGTCCTTGATGGGCGCGGCTTTGGCGGGGTTGGCAGTGACAGCGGGTGGCTTGGAGCTGGAGCTGGAGCCGGAGCCGGCCCTTTTCAACCACTTCATGCGACCAAACTTCTCCTTAAGTAGGGTCGGCTTATTGGGATCGTGAGGCGGCTGGATAATCCGGCGCATGCGGACAGGAGTCGGAGTGCTCTGCGAGCTCTGCGAGCTCTGTGGAGACCTTTTGGTTGGAGTTCTTGGAGATTTGGAGACTCCCGGAGAGTTGCTCTTTGATGACTGGCTGGATTTGGCAGAGCGATTGGAACAAGGTGGCGATGGCAACTGCCCCTTGCCAGCCGATTTTGCCTTTGTTGTAGGTCTTTCGGGTTGCGTGACTGTCTTTGAGATGACTGTCTTCGAGGCGCCCGTCTTGGAGGCAGTCGTGTTTGTGTTGTTTGTTTTCGAATCTCTAGTCTTCGAGTCCTTTGCCTTGGGACTCTTCGCCTTCTTAGAGCCAGTCTCCGAATCGTTCAGCTTCGCATCAACAGCCTTTCGCTTAGCCACCCTCGGCTCAACTGCCCTTGGCTTGTCCACTTCTTTCGCATCTTCGGGAAGAACAGGAGACTGCTCAGTCTTGGTCTTGTCGCCTCCGTGTTGCCGAGCCAAACGCTTCTCGAATTCTTCCCAAGAGCCGTAGCGAGCAGCTTTCTATTCAATTCGCGGGGGAGTCTTGGTCGAGGTAAAGGGGCTCGCACTTCTCCTTGCATCTCCGTTAGCCATCGCATATCACGTCAACCAAATATTCGCACATGAAGCACAAGACACTCACGATCTGCGACGCTCTCCCTCTTTGCGCAGGTTTTCGATAATCTTGAGCATCTCTTTCCGGCCGCCGTTGCTATCGACCATCTTTCCAGCCATGCTCATGGACACTTTCTCGCGCGCATTGGCCACCAGCAAGCGCTTGACAAGCAGGTGCCGCATCAAAAGACAGACAAACACGCCGCAGTCGCTGCCGTTTTCCTGCTGGGGGGAGTCTTCGAGGTTGATGAATCGAATCTGTCGTCCGACAATTGTGCCAAGCTTGCGCGTCGCAAGGGCCGCCTCCGCATAGTTGGCGCCGCCGAGCGAGTCGTAGTGAAAGGCAATGCCGTCGAGAACCGAGACCAGGAGCAGCGACCAGTGGCTTCCGCCCTCGGCCATGGCGACGTTCCGGTTGTCGTTGATGGGCAGGAAGACGTGGGTGACCTTGGAGAAGTCGGGCAGGGCCGCCTGGACATGGCGCATGTCGGGTTCCTTCATGAGCAGAAACGTCATGCTGGGTCGCAGCAGGATGATGCGGGCCTGGGGGAAGCGCGGGAGCGTCTCGTGCTCGAGATACTCTTCCCAAAAGGCAATGTTGTTGTCGGTCAGCCAATCATTCTTAAGCGACTTGATGTCTTCGACGGTGAGGAGGACATCGTAGTAGCTGAGGTAGGCCTTTTCGGGGGCCAGCTGCCGATCCGATGACGTTAGCAAGCAGGGCCCTAAGCAAACAGGATCTCGAGGGCGTGTAAATGGAAGGGCGGGATCCGGCAGAAGAAAGAGGACTGCAGGTGTTTGACAAGTAACAAAGCAGAAAGAAAAAAAGGAGGTAAAAGAAAAGGACAATGCCATACAGAATCGCCGAAATGGCGGGCCATGCGCTGTCGGAAAGGCATCCTGTGCTTGCGCCTCTTCCTCTTGCTATGCGAATCGTCGCGCGGCGTCGCGCGGCTGGTGCTGGAGCTGCCCCAAGGACGAATTGACTCGGACGAGCTTGTGCTGCTGCCGGAGCTGGACTCGCGGCTTCGGTAGATGAAGGAGAAGCCGGTGAAATGACTGCTAGAGAGGCGAAAAAAAAAAGAAGCAGAGAGATGAGAATCAGAAATGTTTGTTTGTTTTCGTTTTCAGACGGGAAGAAGAAGAAGAATGAAAAAAAAGAAGAAGAAGAAAGTGTGTAAGGCGAGAGAGAGGCCCGGCAGAGAAAGGAAACGGGCTTGAAAAAAAATAAATGCGGGGCGTTGCGTTGGGGTCGGTGCAGGTTTTGGATCCGGCTTTGTGAAGCGAAATCTGAGGAGGAGCTCAGATTGCGATGAAACGGGCGATGACGGAGGGGGGGGAGACAAGGTGTGATGTGAGGATGTTTGAGGGTGAAGGTGAGGATCAAGTGAAGATGTTGATGCGTGTGTACTTGTATGCAGCACCTAATAGTAAATAGTAGTACTTTAGGCAGATGCAATACAACCACATGCACCACCTAATGCAAGCAAAGACCCCAAGGCAGCAACGGACAGAGAGCAAGATTGATTGATATGCAGCGGGTAGGCAATCAATCAATCAATCAATCAATCCGCCAGTCAGTTCTGCCAAGTCAGGTGGGCGTCGCGACTCAAAAACGTCGAAGCCAAAAGTATAAGCCGCTCTCTCACCCTCTTTTTTTTCTGGCTGCTGCTCTTTGTCTTGGCCCCCCCAAACCAACCAAACCAAAACCAAGGCAGCGCCCGGAGACACCGGCTCAAGTGAAAACATGTGGGCTGTGCCTTGCACTTGCGTCACTGCCATTGAGGCGTTCTAGCTGAGCCTAGCAGCACTTTTAGGGAGAACAAAGAGCAAAAAAAAACATGCGATCAAAAATGAGCAGATGACTCTTTTTTTTCTTCTCTCTTTTCCTCGAACGGGTAAACCGGGTGATGTTGATGCCAAGGGTGTATCGGTAGGTGATAGAATAGACAGTAAGTAGATAAGTAGATTCAGCTCTCACCTCCAGTTTCCAGTAGGCGATGAAGACGCCGATGATGACCTTGACGTCCGCATATCTGTCTCCGTCTCTCTCTAGTGCTCGAAAAAACAAACACTGTAATAAAAGACAAGGACGTTTTCAATCTCTCGCAGTTTCCGTAACGCGTCGTCGTCGGTCAATCGTGGGTTTTTATCCTGACCATTCCCCCAGAGTTAGGCACCAAAACCAGCAAACCGCCAAAGAACCGCTTCTCACCAATCCCAAGTGCCGTCACCTCAATGCAGCCAATCGAGCAAATCAAAATCAATCGAATCGCAGGCCAACAACGCAGCAAAACAACCCGAACCCAATCCGAAAATGAAATCGAACAAAAAAAAAAAAAGCGTCCCCAGGCCTAAAAGATATACTCCTCGCCTATACCTCACCTCCTCCGCCAACCAACCACTTACAAACCGACCCCCAATTCCCCATCCATCGTCGTCTTCGCGCGCCCCCCCCCATCCTCCCTTTTTCCCCTTCTCGCCGACTTTCCGCTTCTCCTCCATTTGCAAAATTGTTTGAGCCTCTCGCTTCGTGATTTGCTCAATGCCCGTGCTCTCCCTCAATGCCCGTTTCAGCTACCCGCTGGCATGCACGTCACGTCACCTTTGGGTCGGGAACCCGGCCTGGCCTTGTCTCGTCTCTGTCTGTAACCATCATCCACCACCCCCCCTTTTTTCCTTTCAGTCTTCTCCTTCTTTTCCCTTTTCCCCGTTGCCTCTCTCTTTACGGATACTACTTACTGTATCCTCTTCTTTTCTCCTCCATATCTTACAAGCATCTGTATTACTCCGTATCCACACCGCAATGCATAGGTACATCGTGAAGCGCCATCCCGTCTCCCTGGTCTACTCAAGATAGCACTACCACACCACAACTTTTTTACCTAGGTAGGTACACATCCTCGGCATCGTCACACCTATCGTAGGCATGCATTCTATCCCACCCCCAACTCTCTGTCCGTCTGTCTCTGTCTTACTCCCCATTTCTCGCCGCCTCACATGCCAACTCTGCCCGCCAACCCCACAAGCCTTGCGTCTTACAAGTGCTCGCTGGCAACTTGGCATCCCCAGCCGCTCACCCGCTAGCTGCCTTGCGTCCTTCGTGGTCCCTACCAGCGATGCCAACTGACATCAATCCATGACACCAGCCTTTTCACCTTGCTTGAGGCTGATACTACTAGTATTACCAACTTACCTAGCACGCATATGCCTATCTATCTCTACTCGTACATACCGCCACCACTTCCATCGGGCGCATACCTACTGTACCTTACACACATGTAACAATGGAGATCCCGGTATCGCATCGACAACGACGGCTTCCCTCACCGCCGGCTCTCCCTGTCATGCTCCCCTCATCCTCAATCTCCCGTCACCTGGCACTTACGAGTATAACTACATAGGTACGGACTCCGTAATAAGGTATCTTAATGAATAATCCCTCCGCCGCCTCGAGTCCGATTCCAAGACAACACAACGCCCTGTCTCAGGCCAAAGCTTGCATCGTGATTCCAGACCCCCAACATGCTCCAGATCCCCATTGGCTGGATGCACAATTGACATGGCCATCCCACATCACATCATGCATCATGCATCTCTGCACGCTACCTTGGGCCAATTCGCTTATTTCACGGGATGCAGAGGCTGTATGATGATTCATGACATTGACTGTTGAATTCGTCTACCGCTACATTCATTCATTGGGCTTGCATCAAATCGTAGATCCCGGCTTGCCACAGCACAGGCGGCAATCAACCACACCAGCAAAAACACATCAGTCTCGTCCTCTTGCATGTATGATACATGCATCACCAGAGCCCAATACCCATCCCACGCCCAGTATCCCGCACTTGAACTACCGGGTCATGCTAGACCCCACGCATCCTCCATCACACAGCAACATTCTTCTCACGTATTAACTCATCGCGCAGAGCCCTAAGGCTCCGACGCGTTCGATCGTATGCCTGATGTCGATCTTGAACCGCACTGTCAAGCTCCAATGCGGACTTCGCCCTGGCCAAGCGGTGAGCTTGAATGGCTTCCGTTGTTGCTCGTAATTTCTGGCCGAACAGTCCACTATCATTGTGCAAAGCCTGCACCAGGCTGTCACTATCTTGCACACTTTGTCGCTTCAGATGTAGCACGGAATCTTGTCCATTTTTCTGATATGTATCGACGACATTGAAAACCTCCTTCTTCTTACTATCCAACCGAGCAATCAATTGCTATTGAGCAGTCAGCCACTGACTTCCCAAACAAAATGTTCAATGCTACTCACATCAACGGCCTTACGTATCTGGGCTTCGACATGACTGGGGCTGGCAGCAGAGTCCGATTTTGCCACAGGTTCTTGTTCTTGTGGCTCTCGTTCCGTCTCCGTCTGTCCAAGGAAGCTCTTCATGATCTCATCATGCAGCTTTTTCTCGATACTGGGCTTGCGCTTGGGAGCTGATACATTGTTGCGAAGACGCCGCAGCCATTGAGATGAAGATTTCCCATTCATTTCGTTGAAAGCATTGCCATGCTGCTGTTCGATATGCTTACCACTCGATGTGCTCCTCAAAAACGATGAAGAATGTGCGGCAGTGGATATCTCTGGATCAACACTTATGGGAAGATGCGGTTTGATGGGCTCGGGCTGAATATTCTCAGGAACGATAGCGTCATTGACAACAACCGGACTGCCTTTTTCCGACACACTGAATTGTCTTGACAGGCGCCTTCTCTTTGCTCCGTGCTTTTCGGCAAAAATCGCGCCAGATTCAGCAGAAACATTGTCCCTCTTGTCGATTACTACCGGAACAAGGGGATGTTGCTGTTTTGGCTCCTGCATTGCAGTGAAGTCATCACCGCTGCTGGCAGAAAGAATCGTTTTGGAAGCGTCACACGTTCCGATATGTGGAAGCTCTGGTAGAGATTCCGATGGACTTTCAACAATTGGCTCGGTCGGGCTGTCGACAAACGTGATGACATCTTCACCTCTGGGTTTTGGGGGGTTTTTGGGGGCTGGAGGTATTTCCGGCTTCTTCTTTTTCTGCGGCCGAGCCCGTTTTGACTTCGGCCGTTGGGAACTCGTGGCAGGAGAGCTAGATGCCTTGGCAGATTCTTTTAAAGCATTGACGATTGGCAACCTAACGGGCGCAGGTCGCTTCTTTTTCTTGGTCTTTGGCTCTTCGAGTATCTCTTGAGTGAGAGAATCAAAACGAAGAGGCTTTTTCGCTTTCTGTCGCTGCTTCTTTTCCTTTGGCTGTAAAAGTGGTCTAGACGAACAACTCTTGGCCTCGTCGTTGACGACTGGCTGGCTTCCATCTGGTTTGGCAACGGCTGGCGTTGGTACAGTGACTTTCTTCGGGGTCAAGTCGTAAAGCTCATCAGCAGGTAAATGATCTGGTGATACGGTTGGCATGTTTTTGGACGTTGCTGGAATAGGGCTGCTATCCGATGGGCTATCTTCAAAATTCCAGATGTCCTTGGGTTCGTAGGCCCCAACGAAAGAGGAACTGCGATGAACAGTGGATGCGGTTTCAGAAAAATCAACTGCCTTTACCGGGGTGCACGATCGATCGTCCCGCTCCGCTGACACTAGAGGTAGTGTGTCCGGAAGTTGGTTCTTCTCTGAAGTTGGGCTTGAGAATGGCGCCAAAGACTCCTCAAAGTCCCACACGTCGTCATTGGATAATTCGCCGAGGTCAGCTGGAGAACTCCGTCTCGTATTGTTTGTGGTTGAGCCACCATCAGACCAAGCAAAAGACTTGACTAGGTGTTCATCATTATCAACATGAACAGCTCCCGCGTTAGACTCGTTGGGGAATGAATCAGCCTCGTTTGCCACGGGATGGGCCTTTTCTCCCGGCCGATTCGGGGCGACATCTAATTCCTTGAACTGCGTTAAGCACCGTTGGATCCTGGCATGGGTATTTGGCTTTGCGCGGAGTTTAGGTGCCATGTTCGAAGAAGTCACGAAGAAATAACGGGTGGTGTCATTAAATCCGTGAATGAAGAGGCTTGGAAGACAGGAAGAAAAAGAAGAGGAGGATGAAGAGGGGGAAAGGTTGGGAGAATTCGCTTTTGTGGGTGGCCGACAAGCGAGGCAGGAGAGCCTGTGAAATGGGAAGGACTGCCTCCCAGCTCTTCAACCCTGAGGCACAAACAATTGGCTCCTTAGAATCAGGTGCAAACCACATGACCAGGAAAGTACCGTTGTACCTGGCAGTCATTCAGTGAAAAAGATTAAAGTGAAATCTGAATTGAACTGAGCATTAAAAGCATGATACATGCGTAGCAACATATCCTTATAGTAGATGTGCGTGACATTAGCAGCTGGCAAAGGGCAGCTGGCAAGAAGCCCTTCAGGCTAGAGACGCCAAGGTCGAGTTCCACTCTGGCCTCTCCCATCCAAACAAACAAACAAAAGAAGAAGAAGATAAAAAGCAAATCATGGCACATTCTCAGCCATATTACAACAAATTCTTCCATCCAGCCTCGCGGCATTTCTTGACCAGTGACTTGACCTCCTGAGAACGAGCTCTAGTGGTTACCATGAGCGCATCAGGGGCGTCGACGATGACGATGTCGTCAACACCAAGGCACGTAATCAACCGGCCAGACACGGGCACAACAATTCCTCCAGCAGTTTGTTCGGATACAACTACAAGAGTCAGTCAGTAGAGCTTTCTTGAAGATGGAAAACCTAGAGGCGTGGCTTACCCAGTCTCTGGTCACCGAGCACACGAGGCTTGTTCGATTCAGCCGGCAGCATCTCGGCCAAAGATGAAAAGTCACCAACATCATCCCAACCTGCACAAGTCAGTATAATTCCTTCCATCATGTGCAATGAAAGACATTAATCCATCAGTAACTCACCAAATGTGGATGGAATAACCGCCACCTTTCCTTGGGCAGCCGCAGGCTCAGCAACTGCATTATCGATGGGAATCTTCTCCAATGTTGGCCACACTTCCTCCAGGGCAATCTTGCGTGCGGCCTCATCGTCCCACACTGCAGAGATGTTCATCAAACCCTCATACAGAGCGGGGCAGTGCTCCTTCAGCAGCTCCATGAGGAGGGAGGCCTTGGTGACGAACATACCCGCGTTCCAGCGGTACTGACCCGTTGCAAGGTATTTGGCAGCGGTGTGAGCATCAGGCTTCTCCTTGAAAGAACTCACCAGTCGCGAGTGAGGGGCCGATTTCAATCCAAGGCGGTCACCCAGTCGGATGTAACCAAATCCAGTAGCAGGGTGAGAGGGTGCGATGCCGATTGTGACTAGATAGCCTTCCTTGGCCACCTCGACGGCCTCTGTAACAGCACCAAGGAAAGCATCCTCGCCAGAGATCATATGATCAGCCGCAAAGGAACCGATCACTGCCTCGGGGTCGCGTCTGAGCAGGATAGCAGCAGCTAAGCCAATGGCAGCCATGGAATCTTTGGGGCCAGGCTCGGTGAATAGGTTGGAGGAATCCAGGTTGGGCAGCTGGCCCAGAATGCCCTCGGAGTGAGCAGGTCCCGCAACGACCGTCATTCGAGAAGGGCCAGCCAGGGGAAGGAGTCGTTCCCAGGTCGACTGCAGCAAACTGTTGCCGCAAAGGTTGACGTCGAGGAGGAACTTGGGGTGGTTCTCGCGAGAGAGGGGCCACAGGCGGGTACCAGCACCACCTGCGGGGATGACGACGTAAAACCCGGGGATCTCACGATCATCCGGGAAGGGAAAAGAGTGGGTGGTGACTTCGCGAGAGGGCGATGTGATTAAGACCTGAGTAGGACCAGCCTGGGGGGCGATGGAGTGACGGGGCAAGAAAGGCGATCGGGCTCGCTCACGGCCGATGCTGGGAGACATGCCGGCGGAGAGACCAGGAGGGCTGTGGCCGCGTCCTTGCTGCTGGGCATTGTGAGTATTACAGACGGGATGGAGGAAGAGAATGAATGCTGTTTGAATGCCCGGTGACTCAAAAACAACGCGAGATGGCGACGTACAGCAATGTTCTGGAGCATAATCTCCATGCTCCTGTTCGACGTACGAAGGTCTGAGCATTCTCTTCGCAGCTCAGTCAATTCTTGGTTCTACACCTCCGCATTAGACTCACTCTCATCTCGGTCGACGCATCCAGCTGATGGGCCCGAGAATGCCGCCAGCAAAAAAATCGCGGCCTCGGCCTTTCAACCATCAGGGTTCCTCCCTTACCTGCTTCTCCATCGCGCCCATGATCCGCTCCAGCATCATCTCAATGCCCATCTTGGGCGCCTCCGACACAGTCGTCGCCATGATTTCTCAATCAACCGATTCAACACAAAAGATAATAACGAGCGGATGGCAGAGGAATGTTGCCAGCTTTTTTTTTTTTTGGAAGTCCTGTGCAAATTCGCACGAACAAGCTAAGGTAAGCCGAAAGTTCAAGGGCGCAGCACAAACACTAAAACTCACTTTTCTCTCAGACCCTCGACTCACACAGTCAGCATCACAAGAACACGTACACAGGTCGACTGTGAAGGGGAGAGAGGGGAAATCTTAAAAAGTAAGATTCACTGACTTTTTGGGAATTGACGTCTTACGAGAAAAAGAAGAAGAACAAAAGGACACGACACAATTCTACAACTTTTTTTTTGCCCACCTCGTCCCCCCTTTCGACGCCTTTTCTTCCCGCTGCTCCAGTGTTTCCATCCAAGACACTTTTCCTAAAGTGAGGCTAGCATGACCTCCAAAACACACCGAAGTAACCTCGATCCAGCCGCCGGCGTCACAATAGGAGAGCAGAGTAGGGGTTTTGGAGCGCGTGCTAAGCCTTCGCTGTGGGCCGTGGGCGAGCGCCAATGTGAGGCTGACGAAGGGACTGCTGCCCATTTGGGAGGCGCTGGCGCGTCTCATTCGCCTTTGCAGAGGGTCGTTGCAAGTTGGTTCCATCTTGCTCTTGGTGGATTTTCTTGGTCGGCCACAATGGGCGTTGACTCGGGGGTTTAAAGGAGGCGGGTCAGGGCAAATGTTGGCGGATCGGAGTATTGCGTATTAGTCGGTGGGTACTTTGAAGATTGCGTGGTTTGATGTGGATTTTCTTCTTTTATTTCCTTTCCTCTTTCTTCTTTCTGAACCTTTGTTGGTCTATTTCTGTCGATTCTCGGAAGCACCAAGCGATGGAGATTAATTAGGCTCAAACGGTGCTTCAACTACAGTAACAACTGCGTACTACGATTGGCTTTCCCCATATTCCATCTGCGTCAGGAAGGATATTTACTGTAGACTACTGTATAAACAAAATAGGCAAATGGGGTCGTAGAAGCTGTTGTGTATCTTTACTCGTATCCCTCAACAATCTTCGTAGACAATTGGGCAGCCACTGTCAAATACGAGATTGTCCGCACCGCACTTCTAGATTAGATGAAATCCTTCCAGACAGGCACAGCTTACGCCCACTCACTCACTTAGGCTCTCACCGTGTCAATCATGGATGGCCTCTTCCTTCAGGCCAGATTAGCAAATCAGACCCGCGTCGCACCACGTTACGGCCCGCCTTCCCTTGCATGTTGCTGAGCACAGCAGCCGTTCGTTAGCCTCCATTCAACGACTAATCCATAATTCCGATCAACTCATCAAATACGCATCGCTTTTTCTGCGTGCGGAGTTTCCCCCTGTGAGCGATGAGCCTGCCAAGGGCGACACGCCGAGTTGATGTCACGACCGGCGATTATTCAGCCGTTGCTACGCTGCCATAGGCCGGATCATCGGTATTCGCAGGCAAGCCCAGGTCCGACGCTCCGCACGGGTTTGGAGTTCCGCAAGTTAGAGCAGTTTCGTTAGTCACAACCACGGAGAGAGAGAAAATGAGGAGCCTGCAGGTGCCCAAGAGGGTGTTCTGGAGGGTGGTTGATGGTTGTAGCATTAGTTGATAAATAGCCCCCCAGTCGCGTTTCATGCGTGTGTGTCGTTTGCCCATAAGTAGAGTAGTTGCGCCGCCAGCCAAGAGTTGAGCCTTTAATCCCGATATCAGCTAGCCATCGCATCCAGATTGTACGCGCGTGTCTGTCCATCATGAAGCGAACAGACGCCATCTCTCCTGCTGTGGCCGCTCTCGAAAAGGCCGAGAACGCAGAACAACATCCAGCAAAAGGCTCGTATCCGCCGATATCTTCGATTCCGAACACCTCGCCCCAACGTCTCGCCCAAGCCGCCGAAGATGCGCCCAAAGATGTCGCGCAGTCTGCCAAAACCGTGCTTTACCTCGCCTACGGCTCCAACATGTCGGCGGAAACATTCCTGGGGAGGCGAAAAGTGCGGCCTCTTTCTCAAATGAACGTCTCCGTCCCGATCTTGCGCTTGACATTCGACCTGCCCGGACTGCCGTACCGAGAGCCGTGCTTCGCCAATGTCGGATATCGAAAGCTGCCCGAAAAGCCCAAGCTGCCCGACCCCCTTCACCCGCCAATCGTCCCGCCGCTGAACCCGCCAAAGACGGAGCAGGAGTGGGATGGCGGCCTCATGGGCGTCGTATACGAAGTGACAGAGGACGATTGGCGAAACATTATGAGAACCGAAGGCGGCGGCTCAGGCTACCAGGAGATCATGGTTCCGTGTCTGCCAATGCCGGCTGATGTTGGCATTCCCGAGAAACCGTTCCCGCCGGTGCCCACGTTGCCGAAGCCCTTCCTCGCGACAACGCTGTATGCGCCCTATGTCCCGCTCGAACCAGATTCAGACAAGAAGAATTGGTGGGCCAGGTTTGTCGTTGGTCCTCATAGACCAAAGCCCGACTATGCTCAGCCGAGTGCCCGATACCTGAAGCTCTTGCAAGACGGCGCACGAGAGCACAATCTTCCCCAGGCCTATCAGGACTATCTGGCCTCGATGCAGCCCTACACCGCGACGACGATGAGGCAGAAGATTGGGCAGAACCTGTTCCTCCTCTTCTGGGCACCGATGCTGATATACTTTTTCGGAATAACGACGCTCTTGGCGGATGAGAGAGGAAAGGTTCCGCGGTGGTCTGCAAACACGATATCGGGGCTGTTTGGCATCATGTGGTACAGCTACGACAAGCTCTTCATTTTCATCTTTGGCGACGGCGAGCGAACGCAAGATTCAAAGGACAATTCGAAGCGACGAAAGTCATGGTCAGTTGGAACAGACGAGGAGAAGGCGTCTTTGATGCAAGAGAGTGAAGAAGAGGAAGAGTAAAAGGAGAGCATTTTGTTTTGTTGGGTTTTTGGGTTTTGGCCTGTCAGACATTGGCGCTGACGTTATCTGACTTTGTATCGTTGTTTCAGCAAAGAGCGAGTTTGCAGCCGTCTTGGCTTGTATTGCATTAGTGCGTCATTACTGGGTACACGGAGACTGATGTACTTTTATCAACCATGGCTACTGTCGCTGTCTTATATTACATGGTATTTGGAGATATGTTGATCCATCTATAGACACTGTTACCATATGATTGGCATGCTGGATAGCCAGGACGGAGTGGCACTAGCTAGCCACTATGTAAACGAATTGTGTCGTGATTAGAGAAATAGCAAAAGAGAGAGAAATGAAAAGAACAGGCGCTGTTAAAAAAAGAAGTATAAATGCAATGGCTGCACTGCATTGCATTGCATACCTGGTAAGCACACATACATACATACACCTCTTACACGGTATTGCAGTCCCATGTGCCGTCATGCCCCCTACTCGTCCTCGGCTCAGGCCGCCGTGATCGTGATCCTCCCGAGCCTCCCACTGCATCTATCTGTATCTAATTTAAGAAATAAAACCATACCCAGCCAGCCAAAATCACCAGACGCACATCTCCAGCATGCCTCATCGCTGGCATGTGAAAGGCCAATCCCTGTTGCATGCTGCACGCCAGCTTTGCATGTGATTGCGATGGGGTTCCCTCGCATCTCGGCGAAAAACGGTTGGCGCGTGCTTTTGGCTGCTCAACCAGGGCCCCAGCAAATCGGTTGAGGCGAGGGAGCCCGAAGCGGCAAGCGGTGAGCTTGTTTAATGCGCTGCGTCATTGGCACGAGGAGCTTGGCACGCTCTTTTCCCTCCTTGCTGCAATTCCCTGCTTTCTGGCATCAGGCAACCTTACCTTGGGAAACAGGTATATATACATATACACTTGCGGTGCGCTCGATTGCATGCTTCGACTCTCTAGCTCTCGCCTCAGTTCCATCTTTGGAGCCAATCTCTGCTTGTACCGATACAGCGTCGCATTCAAGTACGGCTGCTCTTACACTTGCTCCACCCTCAACAACCTCAACAAAACCAGCAAGATGGCTCTCCTGGGCGGCCCCGAGAAGAAGCACAAGGTCACCATTGTGGGATCTGGCAACTGGTACGAGAAGAATAACTCAGCAACTATATCTTGTCAGCTTCTAATTCCATTCCTTCTTTGTACAGGGGATCTACCATTGCAAAGATCATTGCCGAGAACACGCGGGTCCACAAGGATCTCTTCGAGGAGGAGGTCCAGATGTGGGTGTATGAGGAAGACGTCACCATCCCCAAGACATCACCGTACCACGACGAGTCCATCGGCGACGCTCCCCAGAAGCTCACCCACATCATTAACAAACACCACGAAAACGTCAAATACCTGCCCGGCATCGCCCTCCCCAGCAACATCGTCGCCAACCCCTCTCTCGTCGACGCCGTCCAAGACTCCACCATCCTCATCTTCAACCTTCCTCACCAGTTCATCCGCAACGTCTGCGACCAGATCCGCGGCAAGATCCTGCCCTTTGCTCGTGGCATCAGCTGCATCAAGGGCGTCAACGTGTCGGACGATGGTGTCAGCCTGTTCAGCGAGTGGATCGGCGACGGCCTCAACATTTACGTCGGTGCCCTTAGCGGGGCCAACATTGCCAGCGAGATTGCCGCGGAGAAGTGGTCGGAGACGACCATTGCCTACGACCCGCCGCCAATGGACAACAGCAGGGCGCCGACGCCACGGTCCCAGAGCCCCAACCTGACCATGACCGTCACCGAGCCTGCGGACATGGCGCATCGCGATGCCAGGGGCCGCAAGTCCAAGACGAAGCTGACCCCCGTCCCCGCAGAGTATCCTCCGCTTGATCACGACTGCTTCCGCACCCTCTTCCACCGACCTTACTTCCACGTCCAGCTGGTCTCTGACGTCGCCGGTGTGTCCCTCGGTGGTGCTCTGAAGAACATTGTGGCCCTGGCCGCTGGTTTCGTGGATGGCCGTGGCTGGGGTGACAATGCCAAGGCTGCCGTTATGCGAATCGGCCTGATGGAGATGGTCAAGTTCGGCAAGGAGTTCTTTGGCGAGACGGTGCACACCGCGACCTTTACCGAGTCTTCTGCTGGTGTTGCCGATCTCATCACCTCTTGCTCCGGAGGACGCAACTTCCGCTGCGCGAAAAAGGCTGTTGAAAAGGGCATCTCCGTGGACGAGGTGGAGAAGCAGGACCTGAACGGACAGAAGCTCCAGGGTACCAGCACGGCGTTTGAGGTCAACAGCTTCCTCAAGGCCCGAGGGCTCGAGAAGGATTATCCTCTGTTGACGGCTGTCAATGCCATTCTGCTGGGCAAGGCAAGCGTCGACGACATTCCCAGCCTGGTTTCCGAGACTGAACGAACACAACCGACTTTGTAAATGCAAAGAAAGCGAGCGTTGAACAAAAGAACATGCAATGTTGAGAATACAGCAGCGTGGCGGGCGGGTATGCGTGTATGGGGAGGCGTTTTAGGATTTCATGTCATAAAGCGGTAGATCCGGCCAGGCATTTTCTTTTTACAAATTTTGGTTATAGTATCTATGGATTGTTAAATACAATGTTAGTTTGATCATGGTTTCTTCGTCTCGACTCTGTCCTCCCATGCGCGTCTCTTCAGACGACATAACTCGCGGCCACGTAGGAAGCAATGCAATACCTCTTTGACCCCTCTGATAGTTGAGAATTCCTGTTCTCGAACCTTTACCAAATAAACTCTTTGTTGTGCCGCGATTAAGGTATCAGGACCCCCCATATATGCCACATCTCCCGCATATGCCCAGATACACATCTATTCACCCTCCCCCAATTACGCAATGACAATTCTTTTTCACTTCTTTCATTATTAATATTCAAATGCCGCAATGGATTCACAACAATAAAACCACACACGGATCGTTTACTCCGAAGATGTGTAAAAGTCACGCCAACCTTCCGAGCCCGTTGACGATCCGGCATGGCGAGCCGTGAAGCTCTTTATCCATCGTCCTACGCGCAGCTAGAACAGCAAACAAACTATTTTCGGTAAATCATGGAAGATTACGGATTAGTTCAAGCCTCGTTTTCATTAATGACAGCAGCCTTTGATGTGCAAGTTAGTCTCGTAGATCACTTACATTTCTTTTCGGAGAAACCCTTCCACCACGTCGATCAGAAGGCTGCATCTCGATTCTAGTCCCAATCACGTCTTGCGTATTCTTCTCCATACCCTTCCACAATCATATACATATTTCAACTCATATAAAAGCAAAAGTTGAAAAAAAAAGTAGGTAAAAAAACCCTCCTTCAAAGCCAACACCCCCCCTTTCTGACACCATCACCACCACAACCACAGCCTTGCTTCCAAGCTGAGTAAAAGAAAAACCCACCTAACCCTTGCAACAACATACATGTTCGCCAAGAGCCCAATTCTGCACAACGAGCCTTATTTAATCCCCGTATGGCTACCTTTTACGGCAGCCACGGGCGCCGATCGCTCGTGTCCGCATCCATGGCCGTGGGACCTTGCTGATCGGCGGCGGCCAGCTTGGGGTGTGAAGTGAGACTAGGGCATGCGGAATGACATACATGGCGGAGGTGTCAAGAAAGAAAATTGTGCATATTCGACTTCATGTCGCTGTTTGTGGGGGAGTTTGGTGAGGGTGAGGGTTGGTTTTGCTGGTGCTGTGGTGGTTGGGTGATGGGTGTTGGGAGGGTTTGGGGTGTTGGTTCGGGTGTATATTTGTATTACTTTCATTGGATTTTATGATGTGAGAGTGTAGAAGATGATTGTTTTGCTTTTTTTCATGGGATTTTGAGAGAGAGGTGCGGATGGCGTTGGGAGGTGATGAGGATGCAGCTCTATGGACGGGAGCGGTGACAGCCACTTACACGCTGACTCTACTAGAGGATCTTTAAAAAACATGTCAATTTTACTAGGCCATGGTTAAAAATACATGATACGATCAATATATTATTTCAGAATATAACCACGTTTAATAATACCGTATATTTCTCTAGAGGCGCTGCAGACACCGTGGTGCCGCTGTCAGATTGTGTGGGAATAGCATCACTGTGGTCGCAAATGAATGCATACAAAGGCGATACAATAAAACGAGCAAAATGCATAAACAACAGAGGCAAGCAAAAAAAAATTGCGCTTAATTCTTCTTTTTATTACATTACAATAAACTACTAGTCAGGCCGCGTCTACATTAATAGACTGTGATTCTACTTGCTTCACCCATCGCACCGCGCTGTCCCGCAGATAATTCTCAATTAATTCGCACCCGCAGCCGCCATGCTCCAGCAGCATATTCTTCAGCACAATCCGCTCCGCGACCAAGTCTTTCATAATCTGAGAAAGCTGTCGGTTTTCCTCTTCCAAGGCGTCGTGCCTGGAGCTGAGCTTTTCCACCGCGACTCGCTGTCTGCCGCGGCACTTGTCCGCCGCCACGCGATTCTTCTCTCGAATGCGCTGGCGGCTTGCTTCTTGTTCTTGAGGGGTCTTGGTCCGGCGAGGTCTTTTTGCGACGCTGCCCTCTTCAGTTGATGATGATGATGCCTTTCGAGTCTTGGTCTGCTTCTTGGAGGCTGAAGGTGAAGGCTCCTTGAATGTGTGTAGTGATGATGGTGCGATGGAGAAGCAGTTGTCGGATGTTGTGGAGGTTGCTGGTGTTGACGGGCTGTATTCAGGGCCCTGTGGGAGTTGGTCGTTTTGGTAATCCCATATCATGCCGGCGCCTTGAGAGCCTTCGCTCCCAGATGTAACGCTTTCGGCGGGAGGGCTGGTAATGCTTGGGTCGGGATACTTGAGGAAGCCCTCTGCTATATCCCATTCGGTAGTTTGCAAGGGGAGGGCAGGTAAGAAGACGTCTGAGTGTTCTAGACCTGTCGAGCTGTAGCACAGGTTGGGCCAGATCGTGGTCGAGGTGCCCTCCCGCTCCGCCGGCGGATATGGCAGGGAAATGTGACCTGCATTGGCGTAGTCTGGACCGCAAGCGATGTATGGGGAAGCTTCGGCAATGCCAGCCATGTTGCCTTGTAAGATCTGGGGACCTTTTTTTCCGAAAATGATATTTACAACAACAATATGCCCGGCCCTGGATTACAAGTTCCAGGAATGATGTTCACAAGTCTAGGAGAGCCACGATGAGCAGATCAGCAACGAGATGAGAAGAGGATATGCGGCCCCTAACGAGGCGGAAACGTCATTGCTAAATATATTCTTGGCCATGATAGCCAGATCGCCGCCTGGCTGGGGCTGGGGGGCCTCTTGAACCGTATTCCCGCAAACAAAGGTCATAGAGAAGGACGTTACCCCTGGCACCGTTGGGCTAGCAAAGTCGTATTAGCGCCTTCAAGTCATGCCCTCAGACGGTTTGAAGCATCTTGGAGAGGCAGGCAGGGAGGGTATACAAGGTTCAAACTAGGAAATTGATCTGAGCACTTGGCTAGTCACTGTATGCAGGATAGTGCACATAGCACACAAAGCCGGTGTGGAGACGGCGTCACGTAGGTGGCCCTGCGGGTCGCGCATAATACATGATGGCAAGGGAAAAAGTGTGATGGCTTGGTGCGATGGCAGAGGTGGCCATCGGTGTCCCGGGGGCCAAGCACTCACACACACTCATCAAAAGAATGCAGCCGGCCCCCGTTCCGGATGGGGCCAACCCGGTTCTAAAAAGCCAAGTTTATCAAACCGGCGCCAAAGGAGTCGACCAAACCCAGCTGCACGATGTCCCCGGCGTTGCTTCTTTCGGCGAGTCTCCAATATCAAGTGTGCGCTTCCTGAGGAGGAGGAGAGAAATGGCGGATCTGTGCGCGGCAGAGTTCGGCTACACGAGAGTCAGCAAAGAACCGGGAGAAATGAAATGTCAGGCTGGCAGCTTCCAAAGCAGCCAAGATCCTCAGCCATCAGAGCCCAACATGCACCCATACGTGCCAACCAAGGCACGGCCTCTTTCTCCAAAGGGCCAGCAATCCCCAAGGCCAACACCCACACCGAAGCAGAAACATATCTTCAGGGAAGTCCCCCTGTAAGCTGTAAGAGGAGAAGCCCTTCTGCCTCCCACCCCTGCCCAGGTCCTTCTGGTAGCTAGTAGAAGGTTGGGCTGGTCCTCCGCGACAGGTGCAGCGGTTCTCGACGTGAAGCAAGCCGCGGTCCAATTGGCAATCTTATCAGGGCCCTTGGAGAGGAGTAGGAGGAGCACTAAAGGGCTGTGGATGGCGTCGTGGAGGGCAAGGGGCCAGTTGGAGCTTAGTCGTGGCGTCACCATCGTGGCGATCGCGATCGCAGTCTCTGCTGCTGTGGTGTAAGAGAAGGACAGAATGTTGTTGTACAACATCAGACGGAGGAAATGCTCCGGAGAGAATGCTCCGGCCGCACTGCAAACGAGGTGGACTTGGACGCCTCCATCTGCTGCCGGCCCACAGCAGAGCAGGGAGAAAACAAGATTGGAATAACGTCTTGCTTGACCGAGTCTGACTGTGCCTGTTGGGGCCAGATGGCTCCATTCCGTGTTGAACAGGTGGAAAGATTCTGGCAAGCCAGAGCGCAATCTCGATGACGGGCGAAGAGTTCGATTCCTTGATGCTGCAAGGGAGAGTCACGTGAATTGTCACGTGTCGATTCGATTCCCGAAGATCCCCTTGTTGCCCCTGTTGGGACCTTGTGGAAAAAGAGCCCGACTCGGCTAAATCCAACTGTCAAAGGCTCAGCCCGCTCTTCTTCTCCACAGGATTGTCAACAACCGGTTTTCTGCAAGCCACTCTGCATCGTTACTCCGTAGCCACTACGGAGCCACCACGGAGCACTCATGGAAACGGTAAGTCCCTTGTGGCGGGAGCTGGAGCTGGAGCTGGAGCTGCTGTCCTAGGCAGGAGAGAAATCTCCAGGCCGACTTGGCTATTCGCGGACCGAAAGCTCCTTTACCCAGATCAGTCAGACGGCTCAAGCTGGACATGTACAAAGAACAGAACACAAAGGACAGAGGACAGACAACGGAGCACAGACAATGGAGAACGGAGCACAAAGCACGAAAACGCAGAGCACGGCTTCAGGAATTGCGTCACATAATGGACTCGTGCTCTTAGGCACTTCTGCGGCACGGCACGTTGCCAAACCACTTGAGGCCTTAGCAACGCCTTCGTCTCGGCTGGAGCTTGTGAGATTGGATGTCAATGGCGGATGGCGCCGGCCATCCAACCTACGAGGTCTAATGCATGTAAGCGAGACAAAGGTGGCGGATTAAGCTGGCGAGCTGTTAGCCTCTCATCAAACAACAACAGAAGCTATCCGTGAACAGCAAGGCCACAAGGGGAAGATGCACCCTTCCCGCTACCAATTTAATCCAAACCAGCGTCAGTGCGTGTCCCTGCTCAGACCAAGATACTATTCGGATATCACATCTTGACTCCAGATGGGTAGTACTCGTACATGTCAAGACCTCAGCTGTGAAGATCCGGATGTACGTAGAAACATTCGATGCCAAGAGCCAGTACCACATCCACCAAAACTCCTTAAAGCCACAGCTCGAGCAAGGTATGTGAGGCGACTCAACCCTTGTCTTCGCGAGGAGAAGTTTATACTAATCTGCTGTCGGAACTAATGCAGTACTCCATCAAATTGAGAAATGGGGCTGACAGGCGTTCCGCCTTGGTCCATGATCCATGCCATTTTCTATATCACAATGGAACCAATGTCGTCATCATCTTTCCAGTCTGTGCCAGGGCCTCCGCAAAAAGCATGAATCTGTGCCAAGACGAAGCTGGCCCTAGTGAATCGCGGGAGCGGCTCCGTCTGTCTACTGTAGAGTAACACACTCTTCAAACCGAGCGCTAGCAGTATCAACCACGTTTCATGTGTCCATGATGCAGCTTGCCCTACCCTGAAAGCTGCAAAGAAACTTGTAAGATTTCTATCTTGTGTAGGATAGTTGGTAGACCAAAGGGCCCAAAGACCACCTTGGCACTGCAAAGCATGATTCCTAGCTCTGGAATTCCAATGAATCCCTTTCATGGTATCTAATCTAGCTTTAGAGCTGTAAATTGGCGGTAGTTGGTGAGGTGAGGCTCTCCAACACCCAGGCGAGTTCATCGGGACAGTGTTCAGCTTCTCCGAGCCTTGGATCGAGTGAAAAATGCCGTAAACCCCCACTCAACGCATTCCATAGCTATCAAAGCAATTCTCATTGAAGTCTGGGGAGGAGTTAAAAATGCTGTCAAGGTAGAGTGATGACAACCTGCAGTAAGCCCCAAGGCTGCGAGCTTTCCTTCAGGTCTTGGGAGGGGTCAAAAATGCTGTGAAGAGCAAGGTCGAGCATGGCATCCCATCAGGCTGTCGATACCAGGGAAATCAGATCTACGAATCTAAATAACCAACCTTGAAAGCGTAGAATTGTTGTAAAATGGAAGAGTCGCCAATCTAACTGCGTTTTACATAGTCCATTATCTTTCAAGATCGTGCAAAGTGCTGTGCACTGTCGCAGTTACTTTGTTTTCCATCTCATCATTCAATACGCAGGTAACATATATAAATACCTAGTTATGAGTGAATGAGGAACAGAATCGGTATTGCTTCCATCCTACTCCAGCCTAAATAAATGACCTCGATTTCTGATGATTTCATAATGTAGCCGTGGTGGTAGCTGTTCCCTAGCGTTCATGAAGCCGGGGTCTTGAAGGCGGACAATGGGCCTTTGAGAGCCGCCAATAACAGTCCATATTGATCCTTCTCATAGCCTATTTGCCAGCTGAGGATTAGTAGATGCGAATGCGGCAGTGGTTGGCATAAAATTCCCACGTAGCTACTTTATTGCCACCACTTATACGATTATATACCTGCGGTCCCGGGCGACATGGCTTCCAAACAAGCCCATCGGAGTCTCATCTCTGAAGAAATAACCACCCTCTCCTACTATATTCCAAACCCCAACGCATACAATTCGCCCTCAATCTGAAATATTTGTGCGCACTGTCGATGGAAAACGCCTGCTGAATATGCAAAATCGTGTAGACTTATCACAGTGTAGGGTATGCTCCAGCATCACCATTCGTGCGCTTGGTGTTCCAATACTCCATTATTCATGCGCAGACAGTGTCCGTGCTAGAAATGACCTTTTTCCAGTCACAAGCAATTTGGTTTCCCGCTTTTGAAGGATGAAAGGCGTGTAGTGGAAAACTGGAAACATTACGTTGCGTATATCACAAAATACTCCGAATAGCTACACTATCAGAGGGACGCTTACAACCACACTTGGACGCACTTCGCCGCCCACTCCTAGAGGCGTTCAAACATCCAAAAAATATCGTCATAGGGACTGAGGGTTGCACAGTGAGCCTTGGTATTGTCTTTTCTTTTCTTTTTTTGACTTCATGTCTGCTGTTGGCGGACAATTCCGGGGAGTCGTCATGGTATCGCGCACAGTGCCGCTTATTTCCTCGGTGGCTTGTTGTTTGAACCTCGAACGGCATTTTAGGAAATCCGAGCAAGACCGAGCATCCTGCCATCGGCGCAAAACCATCTGCGAATACCGTCCAAACCACGCGTTTCAAAGCGTCGTTATGCCCTCTCCAAGTGGATTATATAAGTGGTGACACACGGAGTTTAGCAAGTGTTGTCGCCGTGGTTCAGCTAGGCTAACCTCATTTCGTATTTGAGCGATCCATGATTCGGCAGGCTGCCGACAGCTACTGACCAACGATGCCGATAGGGCGATCCCATTGCTGTTTTGGGAATGTCAAGTCCGTTCGCTTCATGATGTCTGGAGACTCGATCTCCAAGGGCCGGGGATAGTGTCTATCAGCGAGGAGGAAGAATCCTGCGGTTAATTGAGAATAGGAAGAGGAAGGGATTGATATGAGAGCTGGGAAATGTATAAAGGGGAGATGAATATCGTCCATGTTGGCAATGAAGAAAGATCAAAGCAACATACATAACAAAGACAGACAGTTCTTCACCTTTACCTTATATCTCAGATCACCTGGATTAAAAAAACCGCCATCATGTCGATCAAATACGCCAAAGATCAGCCCGCAGGCTTCACCAACCGTATTGAGAACGTGGCCATTATTGGAGTAAGCTTACCGGTGCCGTCTTATCTGTGATTCTGCTTCATAATTTTGCTAATAAAGTTTTCCATAGGCTGGAGGCCAAGTTGGTAAATATATTGCTGAGGAGTTGCTCAAGACCGGGAAGCACACCGTTACTGCCATTACCCGTGTTGGAAGCAACAGCGAGCTTCCTGCGGGGGTCAAAGTTGTCCAAGTCGACTATGATGACGAACAGACCCTCGTTGATGGGCTCAAGGGCCAGCAGTTCCTCTTCATCTCCCTTGCCGTGACTGCTCCTAGAGACACCCAGTCTAAAATCATCGCTGCAGCAGCCAAGGCTGGTGTGTCGTGGGTTATGCCCAACTCGTATGGCGGCGACTTTGCCAACAAGACACTGCTGACGGATATCATGACCGCTCCTGGTGCACAAGCCTCCCAAGCAGCTGTTGATGCCATAGAAAAGGCCAGTATGTCTTGGGTATACATGAGTTGCAGCTTCTGGTACGAGTACTCGCTTTCCATGGGCGAATCGTGGTATGGCTTCGACATTCCAAACAAAAAGGTCACCTTTTACGATGACGGCAAGACACGGATCAACACGTCAACCTGGGTACAATGCGGTAGGGCGGCGGCACAGCTTCTTAGCCTCAAAGAGCTACCCGATGATGAGAATGACCAATCGCCTACCATCTCTCAGTGGCGGAACAAAATCCTCTACATCTCCAGCTTCCTCGTTTCTCAGAGAGACATGCTGGACAGCGTGCACCGGGCATTAGGAACCACCGACAGCGACTGGCAGATTGAATATGAGCCAACAGACGTCCGGTTCAAGCGAGGGCAGCAGATCTTCAAGACCGGCAACATCGTAGGCTTCGGTATGGCCATGTACTCGCGCGTATTTTATCCCAATGGCGATGGCAACTTTGAGGCCAAGTATGGTCTGGCCAATAAAGTGCTGGGGCTACCAGAAGAAGACTTTGATGAAGCAA